CTCCTCTTCTCCAGGCTGAGCCCCCCCAGCTCCCTCAGCCTCTCCTCACAGCACTTGTGCTCCAGTCCCTTCCCCAGCCTTGTTGCTCTTCTCTGGCCCTGCTCCAACCCCTCCATGTCCTTCCTGAGCTGAGGGCCCAGAACTGGACACAGCACTCCAGGGGTGGCCTCCCCAGCGCTGAGTCCAGGGGCAGAATCACTTTTCTGGCCCTGTTGGCCACCCTGTTCCTGAGCCAGGCCAGGATCCATTGGCCTTCTTGGCCACCTGGGCACACTCTGGCTCATGTTCAGCTCCCTGTCCATCCCCACTCCCAGCTCCCTCCCTGCCTGGCTGCTCTCCAGCCACTCTGTCCCCAGCCTGTAGCACTGCTTTGGGTGGCACTTGGGAAAGCCGAGGTGCTTTTTGGGTGTGCTGGACTGTAAAAAGTTGCAGCTGGTTTGTGTGTGTGGTGGAGGGAGAGGTTTTGTGTCTAAATGTGCCTTAGGGACAAAGGAGCCCTTACTGGACCAGTTTGACAACCTGGGGGCTGAGTACAGAATTTTTCTGAACATCAACACTGAAAAAAACCCCAACCCTTTAGTCTTTGTATTATTGTGCCTCAGTTTCCCTGCCAGCAAAGGGAGGAAAGCCAAATGCACTTCCCAAGGAAAAAGAAGGGCATGGTTAATTAAGGCAGCTTTGTGAGCTGCTTTGACAGCTGCAGGGATAAGCAAGTCACTATTATAGCAGCCAATAGTTCAGAATTACGCTTTGTGTGCCTTTGCTTCTCTTCTTCATGTGGTTACCAGAGGTAACCGAGCAATTTTAGGTCATTTTATTACTTTTTAATACCCGGCTCGGTGTTGGGTTTCTGCCTTCACGTAGCACACGTGTGTGTTGGTGTCAGAGCCCCTCAGCTCACAAAGAAATGCCGAAAAAAGCCCCGACCACTGTTCCAGCAGGGAGAAAAAGCAATGGGAAAAATGCAGCCAGGCCTCTCTGAGCAATGCCTGGTGATCACTCCACGCCTCAGCTGTGGTAACATGAGATTATTTAATGCTGAGGTTCATTAATTGAAGACATGACTGGGCTTTGCTGTAGTCAGCTCGTGTCACCTGAGCATCCCCAGCACTTGCCAGGCGTGGATTCATCCCTGGATGCTCACAGTCTCACTGGGAAGCCAGTGTTTAGCAGTTCAGCAATGGGGAAGTTGAGGCTCAGGGATGATTTCTGTGTTGGGCTGCTCATTGCTGCAGTCATCATCCATCTCTTTTGTTACAGGAGCAAACGGTGATTAATGATAATTAATGATAATCCAGCTCAAAAGGGACCCATCCCAGCCAGTGCCCTCAGTCAGGGTGGCATTTCCCTCTGGTTTTGCCCATCCTCCTCTGCCAGCCCTGTCCTCCCAGCTGCACTCCAAGCACATATAAACTTATATAGACTTATATAGCTTATATAAACTCCAGTTTTAGGCTCCCACATTTCTCCCACTCAGCTTGTGGTGCCAATGACTTGATTTCCACAACAGTGGACTTTGCATTAATCACTTTTTTTGGAAGCAAGTGTTTCTTTTGCTGGTGTTTCTTTGGCTGGGACTGTGGGTAGGACAAGGCAGAGGGAGGTGCAGGGCAGATGTGTCTCTGACAGCAGCACAGCTCATCATTCCTGCCCCCGTGGGGGGTAAAAACGCTTCGGTGAGATTTTAGTCCCGTAAAAATCCCGCTTCCGAGTGGGATCCTTTGAAGGACAGAAGAAAAAAGGCACAGTGCAGAGCCCTCTGGACTGTGGGGAATTGCTGCTTTCTCTGGGTGAGGAAACCCAAGCCTCATCTCTTCAGCTGGAAGGGCTCCACTCGAGCAGATGAGGCCGGGGATTGTTTTCTCTCCCCTCCTGACGGAAACGGCCCAAGGGCTGGCAGGGCATGAGCAGGAAGAGCACCAGGAAACACAGAGGGCACCCAGCCAGGCCATGACTACGACTGCTCTGAGCTGCCCAGCCACTGGCACTTGGCTTTATTTATTTTTTTTTTATTATTTTATTTTATTTTATTTTTTTTTGCTGGCGAAGGGATTCAGTTCCCTCTTGGGAGAATCCCTCGGTTTCCCAGCGGGATTCCTGCAGCTGGGAGAGCGTGTGCTGAGCATCCCAGGGCAGCTGCCTCCTGTGCCTGGGCTCCCCTGTCTGTGTCAGAAGGCACAAACGCTGTGGACGTGGCGTGTGAGCTGGCCAGGGATCATATGGGCCACTTCCCACCCCTGCTCATCTCCCTGCTGGATTCCCTCGGGATGGAGCGCTGGGAGCTCAGCGCTGCTGAGGTGGCATTTACTCATCCCCAGGGAGTCATTCCAGGTTCCCAGCCCGTTGTGTAACTGAGAGGGCTTTGCCTTTTAGCTGTGACACGCTGGTGGAAGAGTGGGAGGGTTTAATTTTGGGAATTTGGGGTTGGCAGAGGCTTTAGCCCGGTGCTTGTGTTCTGCAGGGAGTTGCACTGAAAGCTGTTATTTTTCTAGGGAAGCAGGATCAGTGAGCTCTGGAACTGCCATCAGGGAGCAGGATAAGGACATTTTGGACTCCATGGAACTTAGGCTTGTTGTACCCTTGAAGGATGGGAAATCAGGTGTTGATCAGGCCCTGGGATGCAAAGGGCCAGGATGCAGGAAGAAAAATCTCGGGCCAACAAGACCAGGAGTGTGGGAAAAGACACAGGGGAGGAGTTAGGATGGAGGACTGGGGTCCTTTTGTCTTCCACTTCCAGCTTATCCAAAATGAATGTGTGGCTGCACCACCCCCAGCAACATCTCAGCCTCATAATTCACCTCCCCAAGGACTTCACTGGGATATAAAAGCCCCGTGGATCTGGAAAGGAGGGATAAAAGTTCAGTTTTGCTCCCTGTGAGGGAGCTGGAACTCCATCCCAGTCCTGGAGCTGAGTAAGTCCCTCAGATCACCATCCTTGAAATCAAACACTTGGAGCCTTTCACATCGAGTCCACACAGCAAATATAAAGTTCAGATTTCGTGCTCTCCCAGCCATAGGCAGTTGTATTCATCCCTTAGCAGATACCAGACCCAAAATGTCTTCCTCCTCCACAAAAGTCCAAATATATCGACTCCTTTCCATGTGTTATGATAAAAATGGGGAGTAAATTATACTCTCTCCACCTTCTGGCAGGAAATATGCTGCCAGACTCGCCTCTGCAGATTAAACAATGGCTGCTCCTGCTTTCCTGAAAAGAAAAGCATCCCCAGAAATCCCAGCTTTCTCTCTCTTTTTTTTTTTTTAATATATATATATATTTTTTTTTTAAGCTGGTTTTTTGTGTCCAGCTATCAGAAGCACGGAGAAAACCAAGTGGAAAAATTCAATCTGGCAAGTAAGAGCACAATGCATGAAGGCACACGACTCCCAAACCCAGAGAACAAAAATAGCTGCGAGAGAGAGAGAGAGAGAGAGAGAGAGAGACAGAGAGAGAGAGAGAGAGACAGACAGGAAAAAAAAATAAATAAAAAATTGCCTGAAAGAAGCTCTTTAATTATTCCTTTTCTCTCCAAAGCTTTGCCCCCCCCCAGGGCACAGCCAGGCTGCCATTTGTGTGGGGCAGCCATATGGGAGGCAGGAAGGCTGGAGAGAGCAGCATTATTTGGGAGAGAGAGAGAGAGAGGCTTCCTTTTTTGGCTGGCTTTTCAAAGAGCTGGTAGCAGATCGATCGTGGCCAGAGCCCCGGGCACGAGGCAGGCTCTGCTCCCGTTGGGAGGCACCAGGATTTCATTTCCAGGCTGGATGATGGGAGGCTGAGGGGGGGGGAGGTTGGATTCTGGAGAAGGAAGAGGGTGGGATAAGTGTTGAAGTGCTTTTTCAGTCTGCTGGAGAATATTCCTGGGCTGTCACTGAAGACAACAGGAGCCCCAGGGGCACAGTTTTGCTGTTCCCTTTGCTCTGGGGGTGTCCTGTCCTTTTGCTGGGAGCAGGATGGATTCTCTCCTCTGTCATTCCTGTTCAGGGCTGGATTTTATTTCTTTAAAGCCCGAGTGTGACATTTCAGGAACCAGCCTTTTAAAATTGCAAGCCCACCAAGTTCAGAAGCTCCTTGCAGGGTGAGATTTGGGATTGAATGCCCTGGGTGAGGTTTGACCACATTTCCAGGTGTGTGGTTACAGGAACAACCATCCCAGTGGAGCAGCTCTGCCAGGGAACACTCCCAGGTTTGCAGTGCCTCCAAAAAGTCATTCCACAGCACATGCCTGAGTCTGGGAATGCCTCTTGCAAATGCCTGATGTCATGTTAATATTTCACTCGGTGGGGGAGGCCTGGTGACCTCTGCAGCTGGATTCCAATGGCCTCTTGCTGTCACATCTGTCCAGTGACGTGGAGAGAGAACAGTCCCAGCAATCGTGGAGCAGATTCCTCCCTATCCAAGGAAAGCCCCACGTGTGTGAAAGAGTCTTGTGGTGTTTGTTGGGTGACTAAAGGGCCAAGATGTGTCTCTGCTCTGCTGGAGTGATGGTTCCTGAGGTTCAAAGGGCATAATTTGCCACGTGGCTGCACTTCAGGCACAGTTACAGCCTGGAAATGGGGGTTGGTGGTGCTGGGACAAGGAATTTGTGCCTGGTGGGAATGGATGGTGAGGTGGAACAGTGATTGTTTCTGTGTTAATTAGCATTGCTACCAATTAGCAGCACTGCCTGCAGAGTCAGAACACTGAATGACTTTGCTGGGGGTGGCTGCCACAGCCCACCTGAATTTCTCCACGGCACTGGCAGGAGATAAAATAATCCCCATCTCTTTCCCCAGCCCTGTGGAATTCATTCCTGAGGAGGTGTGATCCTCCTTCTCCTGAGGAATTCAGTCCTGACTGTGTGTAGCAGCAGGAAACTCCAGAGTGGGGACAGCAATCCCTCCCCTGTCCCCTCCAGCACTCCCAGCTCAGCCCCTCTGATCCTGACTCACCTACGACTTCCTTTCCCAGTCACCACAAGCCATCAGTTAATTAATTATCCCTTTTTGCTGTTTGATTGCAGGGCAACCATCGATGAGGTGGAGACAGATGTGGTGGAGATCGAGGCAAAGCTTGACAAGGTGAGGTGGGGCAGCTCAGGGCAGTGTCTGAGGAGGGGCTGAGGAGTCCCTGAGCCTCCTCTAAAACCTGAACTACCAGGGAACTAATGTTGAACCCACTGGGCTTGTCACCAGGACCAGGTCTCCCTCTGCTGACAGGTACCTGGCAGGGCCTCTCTGTGACTGCCAGAGGGATGGGAGGAGGAGCAGAAGGCTCCTGATGGGGAATGTGGGGCTTCTTGTTCCGCTCCTGGATCCCAGGGGACTGACACTGCTGTGGCAAGGTCTGTCAGTGCTGTTTGCTCCCCTCTCCACCTTCTTACCTGTGATATCAGTGGGGCAGGAGGTGTTTGGTGCCCTCACAGCACTGTGCCAGCTCAGGGGGGTGAGGAGACATTGCAGGTCACCAAGGGCCACCTTCAGACTGCAGCTGGAATCTGATGCTGGAAATCCCCTCTCGGGGACCAGTTTGGCCATTTTGCACTGGTGCTGGGGATTCTTTACCTCCAGCTGGTAGTTTGGATCTAAGTTTGTGGTGGGAGGTGGCTTTTCCACCCCCACTCCTCCTGCTGCCAGAGACATCAGCCGAGTTGCTTCTAAAGGAGAACAGAGAGAAATGACGAAGACGAGCCAGAAGAGCTGTTTGCTTTTTATCTGTGAGATCCCCCCCAGAGCTCACAAGGGATAAAACTCCTGCATCTGATGGAGAAATGGGCTTTGTTGAAGCCACAAGCCCTAGGCAAAGCTGTGTCCTACAAAACCTATTTACTGATCAAGCTGCTTGAAATGGTTGTGTGCACGAGCTGACTGGTGTCACTGGGGAGAGCTGCACAGGGGTTTGGGTTGTCTGTTCCCCTCCAAGCTGAGGCCCTGAAGAAAAAGGTGAAAACTGCTCTGGTTCTGGCCCTGTTGATGCCAGGTAAATGACTTGGTGTGCCAGGAACAGCCCTGGAGGGAGGAGGATGAGGGTGGAAGTGCAAGAGCTCGGTCACTGTCAGCAATGAGTTTATCAGGCTTGGCTCCAGGGCAGGGGAGGCTGGAGTCTGCATCTCAAGAGCCACTGGACTTTAAACTAGATCTTTAAGGGTAAATTTAAACCAGATTCAATCACCCCCTCTCCCAACAAATCACCCTTGGATGGCCCAGCTCCTCTCCTCTGCCCAGGGCAGCCTTTCCAGGGCTTGGTGGGCACCTTGGTCAGTGGTACCCAAACAGTTGGCAGGGCTGGTTCTTACAGAGCAGCAAACTGCCAAGGCCTGACTGGTCCTCTGCCTCTTGCTGAGCCCCTGAGCACTTAGTTTATAAATTATTAGCCTTTTAACACCTGTTTAAGTGGAGGTGAAAGGCAGTGTAAGTGATTCACCCAGAGATCCGGGCTCGGCGGCTGTTGCAGAGAGATTCCCTTAATTTTCTGCCGTGCTCCATGTCCACTGCTCCCCTTGGGACTGGGATTGTGCTGCCTTGGCCCTCAGCTCCTGGTGACACAGCCTTGGCCGGGGGTGTTTGCTCAGAGGTCAGGCTGGAAAGCGCCACGTTGCAGGAGGGGCTGGATTTCCTTTCCTCGGGATCCGTCCAAACCCCCCGTGCACGTCTGGGCTCCAGATGGGACAGGAACTGCATCCCCACTCCAGCCACGTTCCAGGCAGGATGCTGAGCACGTATTTCTTTTGGTGGCTGTACTATGGAGGCAGCATTTTGCTCCAGGGGGGGCTGTCCCTTCCCTCTCCTGTGCTGTACTCAGCTTTTCCAACAGGGATCTGGTGTCTGATCCTCAACTGGGCATTAGATATTTAAGGGATAAGGATCCCCAGTCTCAGGCATTCTAGACCCAAAATTTCAGTTTGTGCAGGAGGAAAACACCTGGTGAGAAATGACTGTGACTCCTCCCTGTGTTCCAAAAGAAAAAGGCCCCATCATTCCGTGGTGCCTCTGGGAGGTGTCAGTTGGGCTGCAAATTTGAAAGCATCAGCTCTTCCCTCCAGTCCCTCTAAAAGCACAGGGTTTTACTTCTTTTTCTAACCAAGTTTACCAAGAGCAGGGCAGAGGTGCAGGGTCTCAGAGGTATTTAACTTCTCCAGGGATCTCTGGGCTCAGTGAATCCGAGGATTTCTTTTCCATGGGATCCGTCCAAACCCCCGGTGCACGTCTGGGCTCCAGATGGGACAGGGACTGCATCTGTTTGCTTTCCTTCCCTGGGTTTGGATGGGATGTGCAAATCTGCTCACAGCCAAAGTGCAGGGGCAGGGGAGGGTGTGAGAGTGAGGGCTGAAAATGTGATGTGTGCACAGATACACCACAGGTGGCTGCAGATATATCTGTACATTGATGTACTCAGCTGTATTTTTACAGAACTGCCGAGGCAATTCTGCAGTTCCACATCTAGAACAGACCCCAGAGCCCTGGGGCTGCATAAACAGAACAAGCCCCAAGCCCCAAAACAGCACACGGGGCTTTGGCATCAAACCAGGCTTGACAGCTCCTCATTCCCAGCCTGTACCTGAGGCTGGTTGACAGGCAAAGATTCCTAAAGCCATTCTTTCATTTAGTAGAAATATTATCCCTGAAAAGCTGCTGGATTTTGAGACTGGAAAACTTGCTTTCCAAGTGTTGCTCTTCATCACTTTTTCACTCAGTTTAGAAGCCCAGAAGGGTGATGAGGTAAAACAAGCAAAAATCAAGCAAACCAAAAAGATTTCAAGGTTTTTGCTCAGTGGCCCAGCCCTTACTGCTGCAAACCTCTTGGGCCTATGGTTATGGATTTATCTTAAGTTGTTTAACACAGCCTCTTACAAGGAGCTTTGGCTGACAGGAGATAGGCTAATGGCCAGGAATTCTGGCTAAACTAAAGCTTAGAGCCAGTTCCAGGCGTGCTAAGGCACTTTGCTGTGGTTTGGGAAGTCTGGGAATGTTCCCTGCAGCTGTTAAACTATCAAAAGTTAAGAAAGGCTGTCTGGAGATGTGTCCTTGTGCTGCAGCAAATTCCAGAGTGGGAAGACACCCTGTTTTGCTGCCAGTTCCAGGTAACTTCACTGGTAACATCACTGTGACAAGGCCCTTTCCAAGGCCCATCAGAAGGTCTGGACCAAGTCACAGTTGGTCCAGAGTTACACCCTGTAATCCCTCCCAGGGCAAAGCTTTCCAGGGCTGCAGAATTGTAGGAATAATTCAGAGTTGCCCACAGCCTTGATGGTTCACCTGCATGTGAGGGAACACAGATCTTCCCTGGCTGCTCAGCTGCTGGATTTTGGCTTCCCCTCATTCCGGGGGAAAAACAAGTCTCCACCAGTACACACCAGTACCCAGAACAGTCAGCTGGGCTCTGAGACTCAGCAGTCCCAAAGAACAGCATGCTCCCTGCCTTTTCCACAGTTTATCCCATTCACTGAGCACTGAGGAGTCAGTCCTTGATCCTGCCCAGCCAGCCTGTGGGATCAGGTTCCTTTCACTACACTCCTGATGCCTCAGGATAGAATGAGCAGGAGAAACCCACTGGAAAAAACAGGCTGTCCTCAGGAGAGAGCCTGGAACTGCTGTCCCTAAGTGACAGGGGGGATTTGGGCAGCACGAGGGGGGATTTGCAGCCCTGTTTGAGCCACGGGCAGTGAGGGGTTGTCAGTGCAGGAATGTAAGGGTTCTGGGGTTGTGGGCTGGGTCCTTAAACCCGAGCTGGTTGTAATTCCCTGTGGTGGAATGTCCCTGTGCAGCTGGTGAAGCTCTGCAGTGGGATGATTGAAGCAGGCAAAGTCTACATCACCACCAACAAGCACTTTGTCAGCGGCGTCCGGGACCTGTCGCAGCAGTGCAAGAAGGATGAGATGATTTCGGTAAGTCATCCCCCCCTGGGAGGGAGCATCCCACCCCTGGGAGGGAGCATGGCACACAGGGAGGGCTGGGGAGTGTCCAGCTTCCTGCTGCTGTGAATGGATCACACCTCCAAGACCCCTCTGCTGTTTGAGCAGCCGTTCAGAGTGAGGTTTTATTTTTGGAGGGGTGTGGAGACTGTCTGATCAGGCAGAGCTGAAAGGTCAGAGTGAGGTTCGTTGTTTGCAGGCAGATCTGGACTTTTAAGAAGCACAGTGCTGGCAAGGTTGTTGGAATCTAGGTCAATGAGCATCAGTGGTGTAGGAAACGTGGGGAACCAGCCCAGCAAGAGACAACAGACACGTTGATTCCAGCACTGAACTGCAAAGGACAGGCAGCCTATGGCTCCAGCATGGTGAAATGCCTCCTTGCCAAACTCAGAGTGGCTCTTCAGAGGCTTCATGAGAGTCCCCCCTCAGCCCCTGCACCCCTGGGAATGCAGAGCAGCTGCTCCAATTCACTGCCAGTTCTCTTCACCTTGTTTTTTTGTTTTTTTTGCAGGAGTGCCTCGACAAATTCGGAGACAGCCTGCAGGAAATGATCAACTACCACATGGTAAGGTGCTGCTTCCTCTTGTCCCTTTGGGTGCTCCTGGCACCCTCTTCCTCGAGGCACTGACTGATGGTCTCCTGTGTTTGGTTTATGTGACACTGCACAAAGAAGGGTGAGGTTAGAAACCCTTTCCTCAGAGGGAGAACTCACAAAGGTTCCACTCCAGATGCTTTGTTCTTCTTTTTGGGTGGCAGAGAATTCTGTAGTGAGGACACACTGGGCTCTGGCTGTGAACAGCCTGCATGTTTAACCTTGTTACTGCAGATTTGGAACAGACCCTGAAGCCTGGGGCTCAAATTTGTGGCATTGGGACACCAGTGAGGCTGTGAATGGGTCAGTCCATGAGCACTGCACTGTCCTGGGAGCAGCATCAGCTCTGGGAGCAACTCTGGGGGGGAGGATTTTAACACACAGGACACATCAATGCTCCACTGAGCCCAAAGGAGGGCAGTGCCCAGATGTGGCTCTCCTGAGCCATCTGAATCCCACTAACAGAGCCCAAGGAGTTAAATTCTGCCCTTCCTCCATCCCAAACATCCAAAGAGGAAGGTGCCCAATGGGTGGCTCCTTGCCAAACCTGCAATTTGAAGTCTCTAAGCCTGTAAGAGCTCCAAGCACAAGTGCTTTAAAGTGAAGGAGCTTCAGGGTGTCAGCACTGGACTGACCCACTTTCCTCCACGGTGCCCCTGTCAGAGCACATTAAGCACAGTTCTTGCTTTTGGGATGCAAGATAACCACGTGCAGCTGGGGGAGAAGCTGCAGCAAGTCCATGTAATTATTTCATGAAGCAGGTGGAAGGGCTGCTTCCTAGTGAAACAATGACAGGGAAAAGGTACTGCACATGCAGGTCTCCAGGGACTGTGAATATTTGGGAGCAAACAGCTGTGCAGCAGTGCTGTTGGTGAGGAGAGAGGGAATAAATCAGTGGGAGCATCAGAGGGAAGCTGTGCTTGTGTCAAAGCAGAGACAGCCAAACCCTGATTCTCTGATGCTGCTCGAAGTTGATGTTAAAACCTTTGTGCCAAGGAGCACGTGAAGCCCTGAGAAGCTCCCCCCTTGATTCCAGGGATCACAACACGAGGAGTTAAATTCTGCCCTTCCTCCATCCCAAACATCCAAAACCTCCCAGAAGAGGAAGGTGCCCAATGGGTGGCTCCCTGCCAAACCTGCAATTTGAAGTCTCTAAGTCTCACACATCCCAGCTGGGTGAGTGGTGCAGCCCACAGCTGGGTGAGTGGTGCAGCCCAGCCCTGAGGGAGCAGTCCCAGCCAGAAAGCTCGGGATGCAGAGCTGTGTCTGCAGGCTCTGCTGCACCAGCTGTGCAGCTTCCCCTGCTCCCCTGCTCCTTGCAGGGACTGCTCTTCCCTCAGCCAGCCCAGCAGCAGAAGGACCCTTCCCAGAGCTGTCAGATGTGGCATCACCCTTCCCTGGGTGACTCAGGGGCTCTCCAAACCAGCATTTCCCTACCCCCAGCTGCATGCCCAGGGAATTGGGCTTCAACCTTCCCTCCCCCACAGCCTCGGGAGAGCATCCTCCTCCCTTGATGTGCAGCAGAGTGAGTGCCTGTCCAGGAAATGGCTTTGGAATGACTGCTGCATCCTCAGCCCTTTCCGACAGGGGTTCAATTAGCTGGGTTATTTTTAGTGCCTTGTGCTCTGTGTGTGTGTCTGTGTGTCTTGGCTCATCCACGCCTGAGGATCTCAGCTCGGAAACAGTTGTCAGTGCTTACTCCAGGAATGTGGCCAGGACAGTCTGTACAACTGGAACAAGTTAAAAAGAAGGGAAAGTATCCCCCCCCACACTCAAGAAAATCAGTTGTTCTGTACTTTTATTGCCATAGCACGGGGCCTGGACTCGTCCTGATTCAGGCTCAGTAAAATCCAGGCTTAAAACTGCTTTGGGTGTGGAAGATGAACACACTGAGCTCTGGAGAATTCCCACCTTTTAATGCACAGGGAGGAGTAAACGTCAGAGCAACCTTAGGGGACAGATGACAAGAGTTGATTTAGAGCTGGAGCCAGTGTCCTCTGCCTTTTTGTGTCCTCTCAGTCACGTGCCCTCTTTCCATTTTTAACTTTTACCAGCGCCCTGGTCATCCCTCCCTCGTGCTGGCTCCAGGGATTGCAGAGGGCACTGCTCTGTGCCTGCACCAGCTGGGTTTTGGGCCAGTTAAAGCCATTTCCAAAGCAAACCAAACCAACCCAGTGAACTCCTGCCTGCAGTGCAGGCTGAGAAGGTCCTGGAGGTTGTGCTCCAGGAGTTCCTGAGCTGTCCTCTGGAAGTGGCTGCCTCTCCCCGTGAGGGATTTCAGAAGTTTGGGCTCCTGGTTGTGTTTAACCTGCCTGACCCTGTTTTTCCTGGGAATGGCTTTGCAGGGGGAGACAGGGAAGGCTCAGACAGACTGAGGTGGATGGTGATGATGAGTAAGAGCTCAAGGAATGGATTTCCCCAGCTGGTTGTGTGGGATTTGACAGTGGGCTGGGGAATGGCACTGCCCTGGAGCCCCTGAGGATGTGCTGCTGTAACATCCCAGCTCTGCAGCTGGGAGGCTGATTTTCCTTGCTGCTCCAGGAAAACGGCCTTGGAAGGTCTTGGACAATTGACTTCCAAGGATGTTCAGTTCAGAGCAGTGTCTGGGAAAAAGTTTCCTGCTGATCCAATGCTGACCTCTTGAGGCCTCCCTGCACTGCAGATGCTGGGAGCAGAAAAGCCAAAGGTCCTGCTGGCTGCCCTGTCACCCCCAGTGACATTCCAGGCCCTGTCACCTCCAGCCACATTCCAGGCAGGATGCTGAGCACATATTTCTTTTGGTGGCTGTACTGTGGAGGCAGCATTTTGCTCCAGGGGGCTGTCCCTTCCCTCTCCTGTGCTGTACTCAGCTTTTCCAACAGGGATCTGGTGTCTGATCCTCAGTTGGGCATTAGATATTTAAGGGATAAGGATCCCAGTCTCAGGCATTCTAGACCCAAAATTTCAGTTTGTGCAGGAGGAAAATACCTGGTGAGAAGCAAACACAACTGGCTCTGCTCTGTGCCAGCCCCTTGGCACTGACACTGTCCAGATTAAGAGAGAGTCCAAAGCTGTCAGCATCCACTTCCCAGGAACTAGGGAAGGGAAGGCTCCAGTTTACCCAAGGACCAGAGGCAGTGAATGTGGGGCTGCAATAACCCCTGGCAAGGCAGTTTTCCCACCAGCCCTGCACATGCCTTGGAAGGAAATCCCAGGATCTGCAGCACCAGCCTGTCACATTTACTCATCAGCTCTCTTTCCCTCGCAGTTCCTTTCTCTGTGTGATCAGAAAGAGAAGAAAAGGGGAAAGGATGCCAGTGAAAGTGCTGCTGTGGTGGGATTCAGTCCCCCTTCAGCAGCACCAGGTACTTTCCACCCCAGATGTGACACGAGCACTGCCCTCCCCAGTGCTGTGTTGAGCTTCATTAAGTCCTGAGCCTTCCCCTCTGCCATAAATCACTGGGGCTGCATCCCAGGGATCCTCCAGCAGGAGCAGGAGCAGCTTGCAGGGAAGATTTAGCCCCGCTGAGCGAGCTGGGGAGCGTTTCCTGCTGACAAGAAGAAAAGCCACCCAAGCCGTGATGAGTCAGAGGGAGGCAGATGGCAGATGGCCCTGGGTCCTGCTGCAGTTCAGGGGGGAAGGAGAAGGAAGGGAAAGTGGGAAGTGCTTCCAAGCTGCCCGTTCTCCACAGGGTTGGGAGGACCACCTGCATTTCCTGACAGCGCTTGGGAAGGGTCCAGGTGCACCGGGGAAGGGGGAAGCATTTGTGGAGGCAGAGCTGCCATCTGACAGGGGGGATGCTCCTGTCACCCCCTGCCTTCCCAGGTTCTGCCACTGTGCCCCTGCTGCAGTGACTTTACCCTGGTCCAAAAAACATCAGTGAGCTGCTGCCCTTGGAGTTTGGTGCCAGTGTGTGCAGTCAGGCCCAGCTCAGTGCTGAGCTCTGCAGTTCAGAAGGACTCGGTTTGTGGTGGTTTCTAGAATTTCTCGGGTTGTCTGCTTTCTAATTAGGGGGAAGAATCAGCTGCAGTAATAGGGAAGGGGTAGGAAAAGCACAAACCCAAGCACAAATTGGAGCTCTTGAACCTTTTGTGAGAGACTCAACTTCACCTTGGGTCAGGAGTTAGACTGTGCAGACACCCAACATGGAGAATAGAAGTGCTGTTTGGGCTTGTTTTCCAGATAAAAGGGTCAGGCTCCCATTCCCAGGCCACCAGGCAGCCAGCTCTCATTGAAATGCAGCACAAACCAGATCCCAGACAGTTTTGGGGGGAGTGAGGTCTCCAGACTGGCCATGAGGGAGATCAGAGCTGGGGTGTGACTCATGGCCACTGTGGGGAGGGGAGAGCCTCCCTCATCCATGTGTCCCACAGCTGCAGAGGAAGCTCCACACCCTCCCTCTCCTCAGCTGGGGCAGGAGAAGGGCTGATTCCCTTCATGATCCCAAACTCATCCCAGACTGGGGCTCCCAGGGCACCAACAGGCTGTGCTGGCCCTGCCCAGCTCTACCTGGGGCTGCCCCCACACCCCACCTCACCCACCCCACCTCACCTACCCCACCTCACCTACATCTATTTAAGCTTCAAGGACTGATTTTTCCAGCTTGGTGCTGGCTCTGCCTGGTCACCCTGGATCTGCCTGGAGCTCCCTGACCCTGATCCACGGAGCAGCTTTTCCCAGCTCAGCTTCAAACCTGTGCCATCCCCCCAGCTTGAGAGCCCTGTGACCCTGGGCTGGTGAGACCCCTGCCCTCCCTGTTATCCCTCAGCTCCTGCTCCTGTGGCCTCTGCTGCTCCCTGAGAAATTCCCACCACAAATGGGGTTTTGTTGCCACCAGTCTCTCCTCAGGCACCATTCCCACGTGCAGCTGGGATGTCCTATTTCTGAGCTCTGTTCCAGTCAGTGCTGAGGGAAGCAGTTCACAGCCAGGCAATCCCACTTTTTTTAGGCTCCTGCTTTGCTTTGGAGCCTGCTGGGATCTCCCCTCCTCCTGCAGGCTCCACAGGGAGCTGTAGGAATGGCATCCCTTTGGATCTCTGATGTCTTCTCTCCTGATTATAGCCTTCAACTCCAAGAATAACACGCTGAGCTGCTGGGCTTGCTTTTGTTTCTGGGGCGCCTGAAATTCCTAAAGCACAGGTTTGGGTTTCTCCTGTTGCCTCAGAAACCCGTGGTGGGAAAGTGAAATGTAGGATCTCGCTGCTGCTGGGTGAGAGGGATGTTCATTCCCTGTTCCACACACTGACCCTCCTCACAGATGTGTGTGAGTCATGGGCTGGACCTCTCCTGCCTTGGTGCAAGCAAAGGCAGAGAGGGTGGGGTGATGTTTGGTCTGGAAAATCTTAAAACAAATGATTTGTTCCAAGTATGTCTGGGAAAGAAGAAAAAGCCAAGGGTCGATTTTTCTATTTTTTTATTTTTTTTTCTTTTTTTCTCTTGTTTTTTTGTTTTTTTTCTTTTTCTGTTTTCTTTTTTTTTTTTTTTTTTTTTTTTTTTTGTGTTTTAATACGTTTGAAACTCCAGCTCTTAAAACTCTCTTTATTCTGTGCTGAAAATTGAATGGAGGACCCGCTTGAAAACGTTCTCCTGGTGATGATCCTGCCTGCCAAAATGAATGCTGGAGCAATCAAAGTAATACAGATATCAGGATGCTTGTCAGCAGAGATGCTGCTGGCAGGAAAGGCACGTTCATTACCTGAGATTCCCTCAGAAACCACTTGGCAATCCCTGCTCCAGGCTCTCACTGGATGAATCCCATCACAGGGCTGTGGGGCTCAGGAGCAGAGTATTGACAGAGCAGGAGATGGATATATTTTTATATATATATATAAAAATATATATAAAATATATATAATATATATTTTTTATATGTATTTTATATATATATATGGTCTGACTTCCTTTTCTGTGCAGTTTTCCTGCCCTGATGCTGAGATATTTAAATTAAAAATCCCCACAGCAATGTCCCTGTGCCTTGGCAGTGCTGCTTATGTGATCACCACGAGTTCAGCTCCCTCTCAGTCAAACAGTTTCAGGAAGGAGCAGCTTTCTGAGCTCTGATTTTGAGCCTTGGACTGAACCCTCAGTGAATTCTCCTTCCCAGGCAGCGGGAGAACAAGCCCTTGCTGTGGCAGGAGGAGAGCATTGCACACAGACCTGGAGCATCCTGCTGGGATCGTGAGGGAAATTCTGTCCTCCTGCAAATGCTTTGCTGGGCTGTTCCAAGCGTGTGTCCTTTCCAGGCACCAGCTTGGAGCTCGTTTTTCCAGGCAGGAATGGCAAGGTGGGCGTGGCACTGCCCAGTGTGGCATCAATAAGAGAGAATAGCCTGGGTTTCTGTGGCTTCAGTGGCACTGGTCCTGCCACAGCAGAGTTTGTGTAGCCTGGATTTGCTGTTTCTCAGGCTGAGGAAAGCCCTGTTCCTTTCATTTGACTTTTATTCCCTGGAATATCCCAGGGCACTTGTCTGCAGTCCCATCATCGTGTCCCTTCCTTTCCCCGATCCGAAGCAAACGTGTCACCCTGGCAGAAGCCAATGCTGGAAGCTCTCCAGGTGGAGGTGCAGGTGGGAACCAGATGGTTTCTTGCTGCTTTGCCATCCTGAGTGGAGGGAAGCACTCCCAATGCCCAAAATCACTCAGGGAAGCAGCTCCATGTTGGAAAAGCTGCAGGCCAGGCCAGTGCCTCTTGGAGTGCTGCTGGAGGGAGTGAGCGGGTGCCAAGAGCAGTAAATAATTTACGTGGGTAAAAAAACACAAAGCTGGGTGGTCTTGGGGTTTTTCTTTCTTTCTTTCCCCCCTTGCTTTGCATCTGTTCATATTTAGAGGCTGTTTATGCTCAGCCAGTCCTGGCACGTCCTGCCAAGATCTCTTCTGTGTGAGGACAGAGAACTGCTCAGGCTGGGGGTCGTGGTTTTAGTTTTGGTCGTGTATCTCACTGTCTGTTTTTATTTGGCAGTCATTTTAATCAATCTTTCCCCCAGTCAAGTCTGTTTGGCCCGTGATGGCAGCTGGTGGGTGATCTCCCTGTACTTGTCTTGCTCCATGAGCTTTTCCATCTTACTTTCTCCCCTGCCTGGCTGAGGAGGGGGAGTGAGGGTGTAGGGTAACGGGCTTGGGATAATTTATCTTGTAAAGGAGAGTAAAATTTAAAAGGTTTTTAAGAACCGAGTCTCTCTTTTTGCCGTGTACTTGGACCTCTCCCCAGCGTGTGGCTGTTGGGATGTTCCCGGTTGTTCTGTCCTTCCCTGGATGTAGAGTTGAGGTACCAGTGCCCTCCTCTGGCAAAATGAGGAATTCGAGACTCGGGATTGTTCAAAACAGGGATATAAAGGCAACTGCTCCTATAAACTCTTCTAATGGAAGAGCACCATCTCTTCTTATGGAAGCATGTCGGGGGCATAGGTGTCTCTGTGAGATTCCCACCCCTGGCCCAGCCTGTGGAATTCTGCAGGGATAAGGGAGTGCTGCAGCTGTGGGAAAAGGTGTTATCCATTGTACAGGCAGCAAGAAATGGACACCCCCAAGCCCTGGAGTGATGCTGAGTCCCTCCCACCGAAGCTCCTCAAGAGTGGTTATGAACTTTCTGTCTCCTCGATGTTTCCGTGTTGCAAAACATTTGAATTTCTTCCCCCTCCTCTCTTTCAGATCCTGTTTGACCAGGCTCAGAGGTCAGTCCGGCAGCAGCTGCACAACTTTGTGAAAGAGTGAGTCCTTGTCTTGTCTGTTTAGTCTTCAGCTTCTTCAACTTCCATTGCACGTGTCCTGTGTGTGCTGGGAACAGAACCACCACCTCTGCCCAGCGGCTGAATTTGGAGCAGCTGATTCTGTGATTCTATGATTCTATGACTGTGCTGCCAGCTGGCTTTGGGGTGCAGCAGAATCATTGTGGTTTTGCCGCCCACAAAGCCTCACGAAATCAGAGCATCCCTGCTCTTCTGGAGTAACCTGAGCATCTCTATGGGAGGTGACAGATGTGGGAGCCCTTCTCTGCATGCAGGAAGCAGCTGACCAGCCCTGTGCCCTCAGCCTGGAGCTTGACCACCCCTTCAGAGCCATTTGCTAATGGGAAGCAGGTTTGCAGTGCCCTGGGGTGAGCAGAACATGTCCCATTAAGGCTGTTAACTCCCTGGGGTGCTGCAGGACCGGGCCCAGCCAGTTAATTGGATGGGGACAGTGTGTCCCTGGGATCCAGGCTGTCCCTGCTGCATTCCCACATTTCCTGAGTGCCTCTTTTCCCCAGGGCAGGTCCCTGGTGCAGGGATCCCACAGCAGCAAATATAGGTCAGAGAGGCAACTGAGGTCTTCACTAAGCAGGAGCTGGTTGCCATGGGAACAGGCTGAATCCCTCAGCAGCTGGGTGCTCTGATGGAGGGAGGGGGTCCCTGGCTGCCCCCCCCCCAATTCCTCAGCCCCATCTTCTTGCCCAGCACTCCCCCTACCCCCACTATCTTCATAATCATTTCTCTGATGAGCTCAGATTTAATCTGCTTAAGGCTGGCGCTGGGAAGGGGGAATTTCCACCTTGGGTTTGGCTCTGTGGTCCTTTCACCATCTTCCCAACTTGTTCTTTTGTGCTGCTCAACCTCTGCACTCGCAGGCCCTGCAGCTTTGACATTTGCAGTGCTCCTGCCCCGGGTTGGAACATAAACTCCAGGCTTGGGACCATTTTTAGGAGCAATCTGCAGCTTCCTGGCTGATGCTGGGAACAAAGCAACAACGGGACCTGTGCCCTGCGTGGTGATCCAGGCAGTGCTTGCCCTCTGCCTGCCCTGCCTGTCCCCAAGCCTTGCTGCTCCTTGCCTGGTTTATTTATGGGGTCACACAGGAGGGTCAGCTTGCCCTGGCCTGGTGTCAGCAGCCAAATGCTCTTTTAGCACCTTCCCAAACCACAGACCTTGCTGAGCAGGAGGGGGTTGTGAGCTCAGTCTCGAGGCTGTGGTGATGCTGCTGTTGGAGCTGAGCCTTTCCAGCAGGATCCCTTATTCCTACTCCTCTCCATGGGGACATGCCCAGAGGAAGAAGCCATTCCCTCCAAAGCTGGATCCAAATTGATATAAAATCCCCACAGCCCTTTGCTGCAAACGACCCCAAACTGCAAAAAGTGCCCTTTTTTCTTTTTCCCCATAACTCAGCAGCTCTGAGCACTGAGGGTGATGTGAATGAGTAACAACCACCTGAACACTAATCCAGTCCCCTCTGTGTTCAGTTATCCCTCCTGTACCTGCCCAGGGTGGATTCTCCTGGCCAGAGGCTCATCCATACATAAGGATTTGCAATTCCCAACAGTTTTCCACAGGGTAGAGTTCAGCATTTACTGTTTGTCCTGCTCAGCCAAGGCTCTTCATCTCCCCCCCAGGGTAAAGAATAAGTGGGTGCTGCTGTTTACTAACAGCTTGTAACTACTTTATAACAGTTTATAAATGAGATAAACTGAGCTCCCCTGGACAGAAAAGAAGTGTTTGTGGTAGAGCTGCTGTAAATCAGCATTGCTACTTCAACTCCTGAGGAACCAGGGCTGCTTTTAAGAACTGATCTTCAGGGTCATGCAGCTCAAATCAAGTCCTGCCCTAGTGGTACCTGCTGATTTGAAAAAAATAATCAACAAAACTAAAAAAAATCTGCCTGTCACTGTGACTTTACAGCCCCCTCTGCAAAGCAGACCCTGATCCTGTGTGAGGTCTCTGGGCATAACTAAAGCCTTGAAAGGATCATGTATTTCTGAATGCAAATGTGCCTGTTGTGCAAGGGGAAAAGAATAGCCAAAAAATACCTGGATTTCACAGTCAGGCAAGACAGAATCAGCTTGAGACTCACATGGATGGCCTGGCTGCCCTCAATGCCCTGAACTGAGTTTGAAAATAGCTGATTTTACTCTTTGCACGGGGTGAAACGTGAAACACGTGTTTGTGCAGGTGGGTTCTCAAATGTGCTGCTCCTCAGTTGTTCTGAGGAGTAACTGTGGCCTGTGTTTGGGGCTGGGGGCCACCTGGCCTGGCTCTCTGGATGCCCTCTGGGGAGAATTTCCTGAAGGCTTTGAAGGCAGTGTGGAAAGTCCAGTGTCTTTCACAGAATCACAGAATCAACTAGGTTGGAAAAGACCTCTGAGATCATTGAGTTTCCTTACCAACTGCCTCTGAAGAAAGACTTGATTTAACCTGGTCATGGTGGTGCTTGGAGGGGTGGTTTAGAATCCCAGTGGCATCCTCAGCAGGATCTGGGAGTGACCCCAGTGTACCTCGTTGCACCTCTCCATGCCCTGGTGTCAGGGATGTTCTGGCTGCTCTGTGACAGTGATTTCTATCCCCCTCTGTTCCCCTCTGGGTTCCAGTGACGTCAGGAAGTTCAAGGAGACCAAGAAGCAGTTCGACAAGGTGCGGGAGGACATGGAGATCTCGCTGGTGAAGAACGCCCAGGCCCCCCGGCACAAACCCCACGAGGTGGAGGAGGCCACGGGCACCTTGACCATCACCAGGAAGTGTTTCAGGCACCTGGCCCTGGACTACGTGTTGCAGGTTGGTGGCAGTGCCCCCCTCCCAGTTCTCACTGGGCCTCCCAGTGCAGACAAAGGGACAAGTGGGGGTCTTCCCGCTGCATTCAACAGGGGTTGCTGATCCCTTTTGCCCTCTGCCCCCTGAGGCAGGGAGTCCTTAGGATGTGTTTTCATTCCTGAGAAGAAAAATCTTTTTTTTTTTTTTTTTTTCAGTTAGAGAAATCAAACTATTTTTTTTTTTTCAGTAAGAGAAATAAAGTGGCTCAGACTGAATTTCCCATTCCCAGCAGGGATTTCCTCCAGGAACACTCACTCCCTGCTCCCACACAATGGTCAGGGGTTTGACTTTGAATCCTTCATAGCTTTCCTGGCAGGTCTGTGCTCTCAGGCAGTGGGTGGGTTAAGCAGAGAAATTCAGTGTTACCACTGCTGCCTGTGTGTCCCCACGAGCTGTCACTGCTGCAGCATCAGCTCAGACCATCTGCTGACAATTCTGTCTGACCAGGAGAGAGTCTCTGGTGTCCCATCCTCTGGGCAATGCTTTCCCCTCAAAGTATAAATCATGCATGTTGTTGGTGCTCTAGCACTGCCATTTTTTTACATCTTTATTTCCTGGTGAGGTCACTCCATAATAAGCTCCCTCCGTTTCTCCCACTGACAAAGAGGGAGAATTCCTTGATTGTGCTGATCCATTGCTGGGGAGGTTTCTCTGCTGGTCCCCCTCAGTTTTGAAATGTGCAGCCATGAACTTGTCTGGGTATCCTTTGGTGTTTAATTAAGGGTTTAATGAGGAGAGTTATTTTATTCTTTTATATCCGTAATGTGGTACCCGCTCGAAGAAATTTTCAGTGACCTCATTTATCAATTTATCAGTGACCTGATAAATTGAACATTTCCTTCACTTGGCACCAAAGGGCACCCTGGGGTCACTGTTTGTTCCAGCCTGTGTGCAGACATCCCCCCACCAGTGACCTTGGAGCAGCCCAGGTCAGAAAAGGCATTTTTATCCCACCTGGAACTGCCCAGAACTGCCTTTACTGGGGAACTTTACTCTGGAATTGTGCAGGGGATGCTCTGTGGGTGCTGCTGGGGGTATCAGAGCCCAGAGGGCTGTCACAGCAGGCTGCTCATGGCTCTCCAAGCCAGGCTGGTGCTGAGATTTGTGTCCTGGTTCCTCCCCAGATCAACGTGCTGCAGGCCAAGAAGAAGTTTGAGATCCTGGACGCGGTAAGGGCTCCCTGTGTTTCCTGGGGCTGCTCTCAGTGAGCCCATGCAAGGCAGCCCCTCTCCATTTCAGGTTGCAGGGCTCCACATACCGGCTACCTGCCCTGGAGATACTGTTGGCACTGCTCTGGGGGCTGCAAGAGGGGAGCTGGAGGGCCAGCAGGATCCTCCCCAGGGGGGGAATTTTCAGGGGTGCAGGACACTCCTTTTATGCTTTGTGCTCACAGCAGGCAGAAGGAATTGTGAGAGGAAGAAAGGAGAAGAGGGAGAGGCATCTAATGGAGAGATTGCTTTGGGAAGGGAAAGTTAGACCCAGTTTTGTGGGTAATAAGGGATTAGGGCTTTTCACACCTCATTTTGTCCCAGAACCTGTTGTGACCCTGCTGTTGTTCCCTCCCCAGATGCTGTCCTTCATGCATGCCCAGTACACCTTCTTCCAGCAGGGCTACACTCTGCTCCACGAGCTGGATCCCTACATGAAGAAGCTGGCCACGGAGGTGAGGGCACAGGGAATGTCTGAGGGAGAAAGCACATCCCTTTTTCCTGTTCCCACACATCAGGGAGTGGTTGGAGCATCGAACCTGGTGGAGGCTGGCTGGGGTGACACTTGTGGGGTGACAGCCAAGGGCTGTGGTCGCTCAGTGCACACCCAGACACAGCCTGTTCCCTTCTGGTGGGGGTGTTAGGAAGGGCTGGTGTGACCCCAGAGCAGGACAATGGCTCACAGACCTCCTTCCTGACTCTTCTGCCTGTTTGTCCTTCTCCCTGCCTTTAGCTGGACCAGCTGGTGATCGATTCTGCCGTGGAGAAGAGGGAGATGGAGCACAAACACGCCCTGATCCAGCAAAGGGTGAGTCCTGGGGCTGCAGCCTGGTGCCAGCAGCACTTGTGTCCATCTGGATCCCGGTGGGAGCTGCCAGCTGGGGAGGGGCCTTGCTGGGTCAGGCCTTCCCAGCCTGGAGATGAGGGATAACCCCGGGGATGCTGGGATCAAAGGCAGGATGTTCAGCCACTGACTCATGGAAGGGAGATTGGCACAGGCAGGACCCCCCAGGCCAGGGCACCAGGGGGGTTTTCCCAGCTCTGCCACTGACCTGCTGTGCCTCTGAGCAAACCTTCCTGCTCACTTTGTCTCCCTCTTTGCTGCCGAGGGCGTGGGGATTGTTCCTTAAATGTTCTTTAAACGTTGCTCTGTGAATGTCTCCGAGGTGGAGGAGTGGATGCAGTGGTTTGGAATCCCCTGTGGAAAGGGCTGCAGAGCAGAGCTGCTTTTTGGGGGGAGATCAGAGCCTTTTATCCCACTCTTTCCCACTCTCCTCTCCCCCAGCCTCACATCCTTGCCCTGGCTGGGCAAGGCAGCTTTTAGCCCACCAGCTGTGTGATCTCCAGCCAGCACCGGGGTGTCCCTGCCACCTCTCCCTGCCTTGCCCATGGTGAGGCAGCAGCGTGGCAGCACTCCCGGGTGCCCAACCCACCCAGATGGGCAGAGTCCCTGCGAAATCAGCCAGCAGATGGACGAGGGGATGTGCCCCTGTGGCACCCACAGGCAGGACTTGCCTTTCCTTCAGGCCCAGGGAGCTCACACTGGGGTGTCAGTGGGGCACGGGGAGAGAGGAGCAGGGAGCTGCAGAGACCTTCCCTCTGCTCCACACTGCTCTCAGGTGATTCCTGCTTAGCTGCCAGGACATGCCATGGCTTCAGCCTGGAGCAGCAGGACTTTGGGAAGGTCCCAGCAGTGGCTGAGCAAGCTGCTGCTCTGGTGACCCACTGGGTGTGTCCTCTCACCTGCTGGAATTGGGAGGAACCACCACAAACTGGCAGGATAATGGGATTTATTATCAAACAGGCCTGACCTTTCGGTAAGGAGGCATCTTCAGTTAACGTGGGCTCTGATTTTTCAGACCTGGGAACGATTCCAAATCTGAGGCTTGCAGAAATATCGACTAATTACTTATTTTTTCTTTTCCTTCTCTTCCTCCTGGACTGCTGGCCTGGCCCTGCAGACCCTCCTACAGGTGAGTACCCACACATATTTCCTTCTTCTGGCATCTTTATTTCTCAGAACTTGCTGCTCTGGATATTTACCAGATATTTACAATATTTACCGGATATTTACAATATTTACCAGATATTTACAATATTTACCGGATATTTACAATATTTACCAGATATTTACAATATTTATTGTGCTGCCTTTGAAAGCAACACCAAGAAGCCTTTGTGTGGCATCAGTGGTGTCACCCGAGCTGGAAATGTCATTTTTAAAGCCCCGTTTTAAGTGAGTTGGGTTTCACCCTCATCAAATTGGTTTTCAGCCCTGTGCTAAAAGAAGGTTTTGGTTGCCTGTGCTCTGTGGGATGCTCAGCTGTGACTCAGTGTTGCAGTGGCAGCAGTTCCTGGTGTGTTTTTGGTGCCTGGAGCCTTTGCTGGCTCTGGTGGGAGGAGTGTGTGTCTGGCAGGCACTTGTGTGGATCAATACTTCTGCACAGAAGGAATTTGAAGTGGCTGTTGTTTCCTCTCTAATGCTCTCTCTCCAAAAAATGTCTTAACCCTCGAGATGGGGACAGAACCAGCTTTGAAAGCTGCTGAGTGCTGTGCCCTGGGAATGGCCTGGGCATGTGCTGCCTCTGCTGAAGTGTTCTGAGGGAGGGGGAGAGTCCATTTGTGAGCCCTCAGGTCCCCTGGGACTCTGCTGGAGTGATGACTTCATCCAAGGGGACGTGGAAAAGCTCTCCAGGGCAGGGCCTTTCACTCCAGTCTCCTCCTGGGGCTGAGAGAGCTGAACATCCTCACTGCGATTTAGGATTTCAAGCTTCCTGCCTGGGACTCTTTTATGAGCTGCTTTTCAGCTACTCTGAGTCTGTGCTGCTCTTCCCTTTGTGATGGAGCAGGGTCCCCAGTTCCCCTAATTCCCCACAGCATTTAATTGAATATATATCTTCCTGCTGAGCCCACAAAACCCTCTGGTCCCTTGAAAAATGTGGAGATTTAGTTGTGCTTAATTAGAGTGGTGGCATAAATATAATCTTTTCCTCGCTAGTGTCTTCCCAAACAGACTTCCTTTAACCCAGGAAATCTGGGTTAAATAATACATTTTGAAGTGTTTTTGGGGGTGTGGGAGCTGTGCAGATGCTGAAGGCAGGGAATTGTCCTTGGACAGCTTTGTGAGGTGTGGGGGAAGCCTCCTGAGAGCCCAGTTCGTAAGGAAATGGTCTGTGGCATTTTGTTTCATTATTGTTTTAATTTAAATGAATCTGGTGGGAAAGAAAAGCTCATCACAAATCTTGACTGTTTAGTTTGCTGCTGTAATTCAGGTAATCTGGAAAAGGCAGACCTGGGAATTTTTTCACAGTGGGAAACGAGCAGAGAAAGGGTGATGTTTAAACCAGTCCTTCCTCCCAGACCTTCCCGAATCCTTCCACTGCACCAAAACTGAGAGTCCTGGCTCTAAAAGTGGGAGATGTTGGATTGGATATTAGGGAAAATTTCTCCACTGAAAGGTGGTCAGGCATGGGAACAGGGGTGGGATCACTGGGAGTGCTCAGAACCGTGGGGATGTGGCACTTGGGGACGTGGTTTGGGGGTGAAAACTGTGCTGGGTTGAGAGTTGGGCTTGGTGGTTTTAAAGGACTTTTCCAACTTCATTGATCTCGTGATTCCAAGAACTATATAATCCCTGTATGTGATTCCAAGGGCTATATAATCACTATATGTGATTCCAAGGGCTATACAGAAGCTCCTTTCCAGCCTCACACCTTTCCCAGCCCGGAGCAGTTTGGGAAGCAGTCGTGCCTCTCTGTTGCCCCTGTGGAGTGCCAAGGCAGAGCTCTCTGCCTCATTTAGCCCAGCTGGTGGATAACAAACCAGGGGCCAGATGGCACCTCAACCCCCTGAATCCCGTGGCTGGACTGACTGGCCCGAGGGTGGCCCTGCTCCAGGAGCTGGGGAAGCAGATCCCGGGGAAAAGCAGACAAGCCTGGCTCTGTTAAGGTCAGGGAGGCACCGGGTGAGCATCCTGCTGTCAGCTCAGCTCTGTGCTGCCTGGCTTCTCCTGCCAGCTGTATGGTAATTAGCCCCTGCTCTAAGCTGATTGCCCCTGAATAGGAGGCTCGGGGAGGGGGCCAGCGGGTGGTCCCCAGGGACCAGCAGCCTCCCGGAGCCCCCTCGCTCTGCCAGGGGAAGGCAGAGCTTGGAGCTTCCCAAAAATAAAAAAAAAAAAAAAAAAGGAGGAGGAGGAGGAGGGGTAAAGGAGAAGGGGCTGTGAAAGAAATCCCTCCTTCCCCGCCAGCCCCCGGTGCTGAGCAGAGATGCTGCTCTAGAGAAGGAGAGCTCAGCTCTGCAGGGCGGGAGCAGCAGAGCCTCCCTCGCAGCTGCAGCATGAAGATTTTCGGCAGGCTCGAGTACCTCCTGGTAAGGACACTCCTGCAGGGATGCCTGGGCTCGGGGGAGCAGGTTTAGGGCTCCCTTTTCCCTTGGGAATTGCACCTTGCTCGCTGATGGGACCCCAAACAAACCGCGTTTTGCTGCTGCGAATTTTTGGGTCCTGTCTGTGGGCTGGGAGGGCTCTGGGGCAGGGCACGGGGCTCTGGGCATCATCTGCTGCCAGGGAGAGAGCGTTTGGCATCAGGAAACTGGAGAAACAAAAGATCTGCCACTGGGATTTGGCCGGGATGGGTGAAAGCTGTCTGAGCAGAACGGGATCGGAGGTGGAGGAGCCCTCCTCCAAATTCCATCTGCTCTGAGGGGCTGGGGTTGGACACGGCACAGGCAGAGAGGGGAAAAGAGCCAGAGAGAGCAAAGCTTGAGATCCAAACAGGCACCAGGAGAGAAGAGCAAGTGCAGGCACCGGCGTGTGTGTGGAAGGGGGTGTGTGCATCTTTAGGGAATGGGAATACTCCTTGGAATTGGGTTTTTTTGGCAATCAAAAAGCCAAACCAGGCACAATTTCCAACTGGCCTCCAGAAGTTGTGTTCAATGCATGGATGTTGTTAATGTGCCTGATGTTATTGTGAATATTGAGCATCACTGGATGCCCAAGAAGGCACTTTTGGATAAAAGCCTTTGTCTCCTAAGAGGGAAAGCATGTGTTGCATGTGTTGGTGCTTATCCTAAATGGTATTGATGGAAAAGAAAATAATATGGAGGTTTGGTAGTAAGAGACGTTTCTTTGAGTATCTAAGAACTGAAATGAGTCCCTGCTCGTGCTTGCTTGGGTTTGATAGTGTTTTCTATCAGTGAAAACCAAAATATTGTAGAAAAAAGGAGAGTGATGTTATTTCCGTGCTGAATTGATAACTGAGGGAATAATGCTGTGACTTTTCCAGGCAGAGCCATTGCCATAGTGATTGTATTTATTTTAAAGACTTTTAAGGAAGTCTTGGTATTTTAGAAGAAAGGTCCTACCTGTTTTCAGCCAGGGGTTGTGCTTTTTGGGGTAGGAATTAACCTATTGGTGAGACCTTCTTCCTTTAGTGGGAATGCTCTCAGGCAGGGGGGCTCCTTCCTTGGAAGATTCCCTCCCCCAAAGATTCCAGGCTGTTGAGGGGCAGCTTCACTCTTCATATTCAATCTGCTCACTGATGCTGGAGGGCTGTTTAATTTAATCAGCCGTTTTCTCTGCATGAAATGCTCATTTCTGAGGAGGAGTTGGAGGAGCTTGGCTGGCCTCTTGCTGGACTGGGGAGTTCCTGGGTGGGCCATGAGGCCACCTTCAAATTAGGATTTCTCTTTCTTTTCCCCCCCCCTCCCCTTTTCTTTTTTATCCTTTCCTGGGTCTGTCCCTGCCCTGTGCTGGGTTTTTAATTTCCATGTGCTGGTTTGGAAGCATCCACATTAATGTCCTTTCTCCCCCCCCTCCTCTCCAGACGTGTCTCTTGGAATGTGTTGTGTGGCTTCGCTGTTGCTCCAGCAGCTCCCATGGAAACCATTGTGGTGGCCTTTCCAAAAGAATATCAGTTCCCAGGCAGCCTGGTGGGTGAACTGGGAGTGACAGGAGGGGACAGTGAGCGGGGTTGCTGTGATTTACTGGCAGTCAGGGAGGGAAAGGGAAGCAGATGATGGCAGAGTCCTGGTGTCTTACTTTGGAAGGCGTCCGATTTCTCGTAGCAGGGTGTGATCCAACATGTCACTGCTGTTCTGATCCTGCCTGCACGTGCTGCTGGAGCCAAAGCCACTCAGATCCCTGTCCTGGGAAGCCTTTTACTGTGTCAAGCATTTGTTCTCCTTGCAGAGACAATGAGGTGCTAAATGCAGGCTTAATAAATCAGTCCAGGCTCACTTGGGACAGACTTGCCTGCTCTGTGTGTCCTGTTGCAGTGAGGGGGTGAATTCAGCAGAAGGCTGTTGGTTAAAATCATGCATTAAAATCTCTAGGAGAAGGAGGAGATAAGAGAAGGCATGAGATGTGCTCTCCACTGCATCCCTGGGGGAGTCACAGAGACTGGAGGCAGAGCTGATGCTGTGCTGGGCAGGGGCAGTGTCTCAGCCAGGGCCCTTCCACTGATTCCCCAGAACTAAAAAGGGATCAAAATCCCTTTGTGCCAAGGAATGGAACAGATACAGGGGCACATTAGGGGCAGGGACTGCCTGTCACACATCTGTGCCTCCAGCAGTGGGCACACCCACCACGGGGTCCCAGCACCTTCACCAGCATGATCTCCTCAGGCAGAGTCTGAGCTGGCTCTGACTTGGAATCACATTCAACAGATGTTCTTGTAACTCCCTTTTCCAGGGATTTGTCCTCTCTTCCAATGGCTGTGGTAAGAAAGTCCCCTGGATGGGCTGCAGCAGAAGCTGTGTGTAGGAATCCATGGGTCAGGCCATACCTCAGGCTCACTCTGCTGTGCTGGAGGTTTCACAACTGCACTTGCCTTGGCTTTGCCTTTCTGAGCCATCTCTGCCCTTTGCCTGGCTGAGAAAGGAGAAATCACATCGATCATGGGCGTAAATTCTGGATTTTCCTCACCCTCTGCTTTCCCTTCCTTTGGCTTTCAACACTCCCAATGACTTTGCAGCAAAGACTTCGAGTTCTTTTAAGCCCAGTGCAGTGGAATGGAACAAAGTGGCCCTGAGGCCTCGTGCCTGGGGCTGATGGGCAGGCTGGTCCTTCTCCCTCAGATCTCTCCCTTGATTTGGACTCGCTTTACAAATCCAACCTCCAGCCCTGGTGACTGTTCTGCCCTCAGCTGCCCTCCAGGAGTCCTGTTGGTAGCACTGGGGTTGCTCAGGACTCCCAGCAGCAGAAATATGAGCAGAATTTGGCCCGGGGACCTCGGCTGAGTCATCCCAGCTGTGTGTTCCCTTGGTGGGTTTGGGTGTAACCTTCTCAAACTGGCCTTGGTGTGGGTCAGAGTTCCTTCAAAGGCAGGGAACAGCTCCATGTGCCTTCAGCTGTGCAGCTCCAGCCATTTAATTGGTAGAGGTGTGCTCCAATCCAGCTTAAATGAGGTTAAATTCACACCTGGCTTGACTCCACTGCTTTTCAGTGGATTTACCCCACTGACGTAGGTGGCCCATCTGTTCCTCCTGCACTCCCCAGCAGCAGATCCTCCTTACCACCACTCTGCTTGATAAGGGCAGCTGAAGAAGTCAGGAGATTAGAATTACACCCTCCCCCTGATTTTTTTCCCCAATTCCACAAGGTGAGTGAGGCACAGCTAAATGGTCATTTTTAAGATGTTTTTTGGAAGCATTTCGCCCCCCAACTCTTCATCAAGGTCCAGATTTTCAGCTGTTTGCATTATTTATCATAAATCAGTGCAGATTCTCATCAGATGCACAGAATTGTCACTTTGGAGCAGCTCTGCAAAAAATCACACATTGCTTTGGAGGAAAATTCCCTCCAGCCTTTGTTTGCAACGTGGACATGAAAGACATCTGCAGAAGAGGAGCCCTGTGGGATTCACCCTCTTAGGGCAAGGAAATTTGGGGCTGAGCAGAGCCCTCTTAATTGGGTGCCTTGCAGCAGTTTCCAGTGGCTAATTGGGCATCATGCTGCCTTTCCAAGGAGTCACTGTGGCCTGTCCCATTGGATCTCCTCCTTCTGGATCACTGTTATTCCTGTCCTGACACCTCCCAGGCACGTTTGCATCTCTCTGAGCGTGGAAATAACTCATCTTAATGAGAGCCAAGTGCATGTTGCCTGGCAACACGGCATCACCGGGGTCTGCTGAGCCAGGAGAGGCAGCTGATGGGGCTGTTTGCACTGCTGTGGCTTTGAACCGAGGTGCACAGGGGGAAATATTTGCTCTGGAGAGAGGGAGGTGTGGGTGGGGTGGATGATTAGGGTGCAATCAGTGAGCATTGTGCCTCGGTTCCCCAGGTTGGAGGGGAAGTTGTCGCTGTTCCATGACCCAGTTTCTCCTGGGAAGGAGGCAGCCCATGGCCCAGGGAGGCAGATCCCACGTTCTGGAGAGCAGCTGCTATTCCCTCTGCTCTGTGTCAGCTGTCAGAAGCCATGAACTCTCCCTGGTGAGTCGGTGCCAAGCTGACAAATCAGCTCTGACTGGTGGCACAGCACGGAGCAGGGAGAGGGTGCAGGCTGGAGATGGCATCTGAGGATAGCTACTGAGCATGGCACTGATAACTCTACCCCTCCAGAAATCAGCACGTTTTCCTTGTGTGGAGAGGCTGGGGTTTGTTCTCCTCCTGGTCCCTTGCAGCACAGAGGGGTGGCAGCAGCTTTGCTGCCTCACTTGGCCACTGAAGAAAAGCACCTCGTGCTTTATTTCCCACTGCAGGCTGACCCAAATATTGGGGAGTTTTTAGCCCTCACCTGCCTTTCTCCTTACCAGCTACCAGAGGAGGAAAATGCAGCGTGTCCAGTGCCTTCCTGCAAACAGCAGGGATGGATAAACTCACTGGAATGGGGGTAATTCCTGACTGCTCTCCATGGCTGCAGCCCACGAAGGCAGAGGATGTGCTGTGACAGGCAGCTCTGCCTGAACCTCGGGCTTCTGACAGATGTTTTTCTCTTCCTGATGGTTTGATCAGACTCATCTCCACGTGGAGATGATCCAGATGGCCCCAGGAATGCAGCCATGCCAGAGGCTCAGGCTCTCTCTGTTTTCCAGGACTTCTCCTACGATGACTCGAAGGTGGAGTTCAATGTGGACGCCCCAAATGGAGTGGTGATGGAAGGTTACCTCTTCAAGAGAGCCAGCAATGCTTTCAAAACATGGAATAGGTGAGCAAGAACCCATATTCCATTTGATATTTGGGCTGAGACTCTGCACAGGAACACACCTCCCTTTAGTGAGCTCTTACTGACTGTTACCATCACTGGAAGGATTCTGAGCCAAGTAGTTAAAAGCTGAGTAGTTAAAATAGCTAAAAGTGAGGTTGGTTTGAGAGTTTCTGCAGTTTTAGTGCCTTCCACGATGGGAGAAGGAGCAGGTTCTTTTCAGGGAGGAGAGGGCACAGTGCAGCTCAAGGCTTGCCCTGGGAAAGCTGCCCATTTATAACAATTAAGAGAGACACCAGAACCCAGCAGGACGTGCCAGGAGTGTCAAACCTGCCTGTTTTGGGACAGGGACATATGTGAGAGTGGAAATATCAAGTGTGCTGCCAGGAGCCGAGAAATGGCTTTCAGTGCCCTGACCCTGCTCTTAATAATTTATCCATATTTCATCCGATAGCTCCCTGGGAATGCCTGGCTCATCTGCCTCCTGCACCAGGCAGGAGCCTCTGCAGCTGCCAGAGACCTTGGAAAGTGCAAGAAAAGGTTTCATGTTCTCCCCCTGGTCGATATTTCTATGTTTAGTTTTCCTTTGAGACAGTCAGTGGGTTTCATAGATGGTTGTACAAAAGGATTCAAACCCTTCCAGTGGGTTTCTAATGCATGAGATCAATGCTGGTCTGACCTACATTTCCTCCTCTCACATAACAAGGAAATGATAGAATATTAAAAGATCTTTTACTTGGCTGTGGGATGCATGCAGAGGATACTGGAATGTGCTGCTGTTAGGCTTTGGAATAAATAAGCACTAAATGCTTCAGTGAACAGTTTGTGGTATGCACAGAAACTGCCTGTATTTGCATGGAAAAGAAGACTTGGAATTATTAAAGATTTCTGAATTGGCCAGATAAGCAGCTCCTTCTCTTTGAAGCTTCCCTGAGTGCTGAGGAGATTCCAGACAAATTTAGGGTAATTTCTTAGCCCTCAGGCTCTCTGATCCCCTGACAGTCAAGGGCTAAGTTTGCACTTGGAGGAACCAGTGCAGCAGTGTTTGAGCTCAGTGCTCTGGGAAGGTGCCTTAGCTGAATTTTTATCACCTTTTTAGGATTCCCTGCTTGGTGTCCCCTGAGCAGAGTCCAGCCTTGGTCCACAGTGTGGCTGCTGTCCCTGACCCCCCCCTGTTTCTGTGCAGCAGAATGTCCTTCCAAAGCCTGGCAGGTTAATGTTGAGACCTGTGCTTGGCTTTTGGGATGGAGAGGAACAATTCCAGGCAACTCCCTTCTCCTTGCAGCTCCCCTGGCTGTGCATTCATGGGTCCCTCCAAAGGGCACTCACCCTGGAGGGAAAATGCCCCTCTGGACTTTGTTTTTCCTGATATCTGAAGTAACGTCGGCGTCAAGGGCTCCAAGTTTTCCGTGCCCTCAAATCCCGGTTATCCTCCTACACCCCAGTCACACAGAGGCAGCAGCCTCCCCACAGCTATATCCATCTCTTCAATCCCACCCACCCTCAGCCAGTTCTGCCCACAGCTCAGCTATTCCCAGCTCCTGGAGCCCACTCATCACCTCCTCGCCGAGCTCAGCCCCTCTGGCAGAGCCTCCCCCTCACGGGAGCAGCAAAATCCTCATGGAATCCCAGAATATCCTGAGCTAGAATGGACCCACAAGGATCATTCTGAGGAGCTGAGCAGAGCCTGCAGCTGTCACAGCAGCCCAGAGTGCTCCCAGATGGATGGGATGGCCTCCAGTCACCTGTATTTTCCCGTTTCTCCACAGACACATCAAGTCCTTTTGATCTCTTTTTATCAGTTTAATATTCAGCTGTGACAAAAGAAAGGGAATCCTGTCTCATCTCATTTTTTTTCCCCCTCATTCTTTTGCCAGCAGAGTATGTCATACATGCTCTCAGTAACCCCCTGCTGCAACCCTCAGACTCCTTCTGCTCAGGTGTTCCAGAACCTTCTTCCTGAAAACTTCGTGGTGGTCGTGGCTTCCTTTGCCCTCCACGAAGGTGATCAGGTTGCTAAATAAATTATCCTCCTTTTAAATGGAGATATAAAGGGAAACATCCTGCTCTGCCACAAGCTGCCTCTCTGTAGCTCTGCAGTTTGCCTGTCCTGATGTCTGTCTGTCTGTCTGTCTTCCCTCAGGAGGTGGTTCTCCATACAGAACAGCCAGCTGGTGTACCAGAAAAAGCTAAAGGTCAGTGAGGCTGCCCCAGATGACCCCAGAGGATCAGCCAACTGCTCTGGTGTCCTGCTTTGCTGGGGACTCCTGCTCCATGGTGGGGAGAGGGGTGGAAGGATCAGAGGGACAGCAAGCCCATTACTGTGTCCAAGGTTAGACTGTGCTGAGAGTGAAGTGTCAGCAGATGGGGTTTGTTAAATAAATGTTTATTTAGATCAAACGTTCCTGTTCAGCTGAGGAAGTTGGTGGGGTCCCCAGCAAACCTGCCATGTACGTGTTGCCCTGTGCTTTAATTCCATATAACCCCTTCCCACAGCCCTGGAGGGCTGGGCTGGGCTGGCTCTGCCCTCTCTGCACTCTGTGCCAACAGCAGGGTTTGGGAAGGAGTTTTCTGGGCTGTGACACGGATTCAGGAGCCCTCAAGGCCCCTGTTCTCTCCCTTGCAGGATGTGCTCACGGTGGTGGTGGAGGACCTGCGGCTCTGCACCGTCAAGCCCTGTGAAGACATAGAGAGGAGGTTCTGCTTCGAGGTGGTCTCTCCTACCAAGTGAGTTTGGTGGCTTCCCCAGGCCGTCCTCGTGGGAGCTGGGCTGTGCATGGAGCTGCAAGAGATGGGATTGGAGCAGATGCTGCCCTGGGCTGTTAAATTGTGGCTGGGAGATGCCGTTGCCTGTGCTCCAGGGTCCCTGGGAAGTTTGTCAGACACCAGCATAAGCTGAATCCAGCTTATGGATTCCAGCTGATACATTACACAAGGCAAATTATATGTTATATATTATATATTTTACCTAATATACATCTAGGCAGTGCAGCTGTCAGTGTTTGAAGGGGGAACAGCCCTGACAGTGCAAACTTGCAGGATTAATTTTTGCCCCTTCGCTGCCCGCGCTGGGATGTCTGGGCTGAGGAAGAAGGGGAACAGTCTTGACCAAAATGTCCTTTTGCTCTTCCCAACTGCTCCCCTGCCTTTCCAGGAGCTGCATGCTGCAGGCTGACTCGGAGAAGCTGCGCCAGGCCTGGATCCAGGCAGTGCAGGCCAGCATTGCCTCTGCCTACCGGGAGAGTCCGGACAGCTACTACATCGAGGTGAGGGAGGAAACATCCCTCATTTCCCCCTTCCCTTCTTGAATTAGCACCAGTTTGTTCTTCTCCTGTCAGTGCCTCTGCTGGGCAAAGCCTGGTTCATTCCACAGAGCTCTGCAGAGTCCTTGAACCCCCTGCAGTGCTACAGGCTGGGGACAGAGTGACTGGAGAGCAGCCAGGCAGGAAGGGAGCTGGGAGTTTGGACTGACAGGAAGCTGAATAGGAGCCAGAGTGTGCCCAGATGGCCAAGAAGGCCAATGGATCCTGGCCTGGCTCAGGAACAGTGTGGCCAACAGGGCCAGAAAAGTGATTCTGCCCCTGGACTCAGCACTGGGGAGGCCACCCCTGGAGTGCTGTGTCCAGTTCTGGGCCCTCAGCTCAGGAAGGACATGGAGGGGCTGGAGCAGGGCCAGGGAAGGGCAACAAGGCTGGGGAAGGGACTGGAGCACAAGTGCTGTGAGGAGAGGCTGAGGGAGCTGGGGGGGCTCAGCCTGGAGAAGAGGAGGCTCAGGGGAGACCTCCTCACTCTCTGCAACTCCCTGCCAGGAGGGGGGAGCCAGGGGGGGGTTGGTCTCTTTTCCCAGGCAACCATCAGCAAGACAAGAGGGCTGGGTCTTCAGCTGTGCCAGGGGAGGTTTAAGTTGGATATTAGAAAGAATTTCTTTGCAGAGAGGGTGCTCAGCCATTGGAATGGGCTGCCCAGGGAAGTGATGGATTCTCCATCCCTGGAGGCTTTTAAGAAGAGACTGGATGTGGCATCAGTGCCATGGGCTGGGAACCACAGGAGGGTTGGATCAAGGGTTGGACTGGATGATCTCTGAGGTCCCTTCCAACCCAGCTGATTCCATGATTCTGATTCTTGATTCTAACCCTTTTTCCCTGCAGAGACTGGACCGAACTGCCTCCCCCTCCACGAGCAGCATCGACTCCGCCACCGACTCCCGGGAGCGCAGTGGGAAAGGGGAGACCATCCTGCAGAGAGTGCAGAGCATCCCTGGGAATGACCAGTGCTGTGACTGTGGGCAGCCAGACCCTCGCTGGGCCAGTATCAACCTGGGCATTCTGCTGTGCATCGAGTGCTCAGGGATCCACAGGTACTCTGTGTGTGTGTGTGTGTGTGCTCTGGGTGAGCCAGGCATGGATTGCAGGCTCCTGGGGAAAAGGGTGGAGCTGGAATTACCACTGACTAAAATGCTTGTGCAGATAAATTCAAAAATAATTGCTTGCTGAGGTGCCTGTGTGTGCAGGTACATCTGTGTTGGCATATGCACAACACTCTGCATCTGTGTAGAAGATAAATAAGAACTGGACCAATCTTGCTCATCTGAACATGCATGAGAAGTTCTGTTTTGAGGCGTGTAACCACTTTGGTTTTCTTCCCCTTGGCTGAACAGGAGCCTGGGTGTTCACTGCTCCAAGGTCAGATCCCTCACGCTGGATTCCTGGGAGCCAGAGTTACTGAAGGTGAGTGTTGGAATTTAACAGCAAGGGATGGATGAATGGTGGGCATGGAGGGAGGGTTGTTTGGTGGCAGGATAGACTAGAAGGAAGGTAACTCCTCACCTGGGGATTTAATTCATTCCCTGTTGAATTGCAGCTGATGTGTGAGCTGGGGAACAGCACCATGAATCAGATTTATGAGGCACAGTGTGAAGAGCTGGGACTCAAGAAACCAACAGCAGGGAGCTCCAGGTGAGTCTGGGGGTACACACTGTCCTGTGGGAAGCCATCCATCCATCCATCCATCCATCCATCCATCCATCCATCCATCCATCCATCCATCCATCCATCCATCCACACTGCAAACCCAGTACCCCAAACTCCCCAGAAGTCAGATCAAGAGGGCTCCAAACACCTCAGGTACACCTACCCCAACTCAGTCCCTCTGGAGCTCACCTGAGCTTGACCCTCCCAAAGGTCAGGGGGGCATTCCCAGCCCTGCTGAACGTGCTGGAAAGCAGGACTGGCTGGGTTTACCCCTGGGTTACACCTGCTCTGAGACCTGAAGCATGTGGTGGTGCCTGGGGCTGAACATCTCACACTCCACTCAGCTGCACCCCTTTTTTTTTCAAAAATCACGAAAATGTTGTAAAGGCAAATGCATTCAAGAGACAAACCCACCCCCTTTTATTAGGGTAAAGATACAGTCATAACAAAATATTTGAAATTTTCTAAATAACCACCTGGACTTCAGCAGTTCCTAAATGACATTAAATGATACAAGCCTTCTGAGGAAAAAAGATCACTGCTGTAGGCAACACTACTCATAAACTCTATTTGACAAAACAAAGTAGCAGCAAAATATTCAGTTTATTTCTTTCAGCAAAAAAGAAATAAGAAAAAATTAATGGCAAGGTTAAAACTATCTGAATGCCAAGAAGCATCAGGTTCAGGAGCTCATAACTTGAACATCCTAAACTATTTTCTGGTGAAGTCATTCATATAATGGATTGGTAGCTGTGCCTTGACAGAGCGGATGTTTTTAGCTTTGAGAAACCTGAATTTTTAGGTCTCGAAGCCGGGCTGACAAAATTCCCCTCGTGACTGCTGCGGGCAAATCGTGACTCTGTGCACGACTCTGTGCCTTCCCTTAGGCAGGACAAGGAGGCCTGGATCAAGGTGAAGTACGTGGAGAAGAAATTCCTGAAGAAGCTGCCGGGCGGGGAGGCTCTGACGGAGAACGAGCGGAAGCCTCGCCGCTGGTGCGTCAAGAAGTGCCAGAGGCACAACAGCGCCACGAAAGCACCCACAGCTCGGAGGAAGTACCGGCATGAGGCAGGGAATGCCTCCCCAGCCCTGCTGTCCTCAGGTGGGAACATCCCTGTGCCCTCCCAGCACCAGCCTGTGGCCCCAGGCTCGCCGCAAACCTGCCTTGGGTATAACCCAAAATGCTTTTGCACGTGTTGACACGGGTTTGTAAACCCATTTCCTAACGTTTTCCATCAGTTTAAGGAGCTTCTCGTGGCTAAAGGTTGTTCCACTTTCTGCGTTTTCTTTTTAAGAAGTCTCGAATCCTTTTATTTTTAGCTGCCTGGTCTGTAAGAGGGGCCAGGCTTAGGAAGGGTTCTGGCTGCTCAGGGTGCTCTGGGATGAGTAGGTTTGCAGTGGATCAGCCCCCAGGGATGGTTGGTTTGCAGCAGATCAGCCCCTGGGATGGTTGGTTTGCAGTGGATCAGCCCCTGGGATGGTTGGTTTGCAGTGGATCAGCCCCCTGGGATGGTTGGTTTGCAGTGGATCAGCCCCTGGGATGGTTGGTTTGCAGTGGATCAGCCCCCTGGATGGTTGGTTTGCAGTGGATCAGCCCCCTGGATGGTTGGTTTGCAGCAGATCAGCCCCCTGGGATGGTTGGTTTGCAGCAGATCAGCCCCTGGGATGGTTGGTTTGCAGTGGATCAAGCCCCTGGGATGGTTGGTTTGCAGTGGATCAGCCCCTGGGATGGTTGGTTTGCAGTGGATCAGCCCCTGGGCTGGTTGGATTGCAGTGGATCAGCCCCTGGGATGGTTGGTTTGCAGTGGATCAGCCCCTGGGATGGTTGGTTTGCAGTGGATCAGCCCCCTGGATGGTTGGTTTGCAGTGGATCCCCACATTTGGTCAGCAGTGTGTGATATTTTGGTGCAGGGGGGCACGATTCTGGCACTGGCCACACCTGGGTGTGCTCAGCCCATGCAAATAAAGCTGTAGAACTGGCTCTCATTGGCATGCTGTTAACTGCACATCCCCAAATGTCTCTGTGTGGAACAGCAGCCACCCTGGAGAGGAAGTTCCGCCGGGATTCCCTGTTCTGCCCCGACGAGCTGGATTCCCTCTTCTCCTACTTCGACACCGGCGCCGGCTCCGGCCCTCGCAGTAAGTGCCCACCAAGTGTCCCTCTGGCAGCTCCTCCAGGGCCTGGGCACTGCCCACAGCCCAGGCCAGGCCTTGCCCTCAGAGCAGAGGGTGAATATTTTGGCAGTGATGAGGAGTTACTTGCACAAACTCCGGCCCGTTGCTCTTTAATTGCACCGATTTGAATCCACTCTCCAGTCAGTCCCCGATGTTTGCGTTCTGGTGGATGGGATTTTTTTTTTTTGTTCCCAACATCTTTTACTCCCAGGCTATGCATTCCATTGGCTTTTATTTTTCTGGTTTTCATTTTTTCTTTTTTTTTCCCCCCATTTTTTCTTTTTTTCATTTTTTTTTATTTTTTTAAAAGAAAATTTTAATTTTTTACAATTTTCCATTTTTTCATTCCATTTTCCATTTTTCCATTTTTTCATTTTCCATTTTTTCATTTTCCATTTTTTCATTTTCCATTTTCCATTTTCCATTTCCCCCATTTCCCCCATTTTCCCCCATTTTCCCCCATTTTCCCCCATTTTCCCCCATTTTCCCCCATTTTCCCCCATTTCCCCCCATTATTTCCCCCCATTATTTCCCCCCATTATTTCCCCCCATTATTTCCCCCCATTATTTCCCCCCATTTCCCCCCATTTCCCCCCATTTTCCCCCATTTTCCCTCAATTCCCGCATTTTTCCATGCTTTCCATTTTTCCCTATTTTTTTCCATTTTTCCATTTTTTTCCATTTTCCCCATTTTTCCCCATTCCCCCATTTTTTCCATTTTTCCCCATTCGCCCCCTCATTTTTTTCCAGCAACTCTTACCACACGCAATTTTTTCTTTATTTTTTTTCCTTTATTTTTATTTCTTATTTTTTTTGTGTTGGTGCCGATGACCTCCCCTCACGTTCCGTCCACCTTCCTCTAGGTGCCAGCCACATCCCTGAGCAGCACCCGCTCGCAGGTGGCCCCTGGAGTGGCAGTGGCAGTGGCATTGGTCCCGGTGGGAGCGGTTCTCCGTTCCTCCTGGACGGAGGTAAGGTGACGCTCTGGCAGCCAGCAGCAAAAGAGACTCCCAAATTTCACTGCTTCCACACCGACAGCCAGCAAAAGACACCCCCCCAAAATTTCACTGCTTTCCACACCGACATTCCAAAGGATTTTTTTTCCTTCAGCCAAGTGACTGGAGTTGCTCCTTTTACCTGGGGGCAGGCTTGCCAAAAGGCAAAAGGATTCCTAAGTTATTTCCTTAAAGGAATGACTGTCCCTGCACAGGTGGGATCTCAGATGGGCATGGTTTTAAGCCGTGCCAGGGGAGGTTTAGGCTGGACATTGGGAAGAAGTTCTGCACAGAAGGAGTGACTGGGCATTGGAAGGGGCTGCCCAGGGAGGTGGAATCAACATCCCTGGAGGTGTTTAAGGAAAGACTGGATGTGGCACCGAGTGGTGTTGGGATCTTTTCCAGATCTTTTCCAACCTGTTTGACTCTGGGAAGCACTAATTGAGTGTTCCCCACCTGTCTCAGACTGGCCATGTGGTCCTTTGTGCTTAGCTCAGGAGCGGGGACTTATTAGAACTTCCTGGCTCGTTTGCTTGTTGTTGTAGGAATTTAAAATCAATATTTGCAGTCCTGAGTCAGCACAGCAGAAACTCACAGGCTTTTCCTCCAAGTCCTTCTCTCTTGAAATCAGAGAATAAAGTGTTTTAGTGCCTGCCTGAATCAGGGCTTGGGCTATTCCTGTTTCAAGGAATTTAGTGTTCTTAGTCAACAGAAACAGTACTTGGGAGATGCAGGACTCCAGAGTTAAGTCCTGGAGTTAACTCCAGAGTTAAGGCTCAACAGCCTTATCTTGCTCTCGTAGAAAAAAATAGCAATTTTATCACCGATTCAGTGGGAACAGAACTGGGAATTTGATGTATTAATATCCATGGGAGATGAGCCAGGTCCTCCTTTCTTGCCTTGCTGCAAATCTGGAGCCACGTGGCCCTGCTGGAGCCACACTTCCCTCGCAGTGCCAGGGTGAGAGCACGCTCTCACCAGGCAGTGTTTGCTTTTCCTGCTAAAAACTGCAATCACTTCTCTGACAGCAAATCCAAAAAAAGATAATGTGTGATATGTGCCATTTTAAACCCTTCCTGTTGTGGCTTCCTTATCTCCTTTGGCACTTGGACAGAGCTGAAGGATTCCTCGTGATCCACGATTTCAGGACCGCTTTCTTCATCTGGGACTTTGCTGTAGCTGCTCTGGGGAGTTCAAGAGCCTTTAAGGTTCAGGTGCCTTGTTCTGCCGTGGTTTTCAAGGCTCAAATCTGTAGTTCTTGCAGCCTTCCCTGCTCTTACTCTTTGCACAGACCACTCAGCTGTTTTAGAAACACTTTGTCGGCCACAGTCCTGCCTTGTTTTCCTTCCTAAATCACAGTGGTAGGTCTTGGGGTGGATCATGGGAACTTAACCTCTGGAGTTTTTGGAGGACAGACACTCCCAGTCCAGGAAGTTAAAAGCAGCAAGAAGGTGAATCCAGGCAGAATTCCCAAAGTTAGCCAGGCATCCCTCAGGACAAAGGTGATGTGCCATCCCTCAGGACAAAGGTGATGTGCCATCCCTTTTCCTGCAGGAGCAATTCTTGGATGTGCTTCTTCCTTCCTTCCTGTTGTTTTCTTGGCTGCTTTTGGGTGTGAGCTGGGAAAGGGAGAAAGTTTCTCTGCCACTGACACATTGTGTGTCCTTGGCCAAGTTGCTTCATCTCTTCACTTCCATCCCTGGGATTGTCCAAGGCCAGGCTGGATGGGGCTTGGAGCAACCTGGGCTAGTGGAAGGTCTCCCTGCCCATGGCAGGGGGTGGGACTGATGAGCTTTAAGGTCCCTTCCAACCCAAACCATTCCACGATTCAACGATTCCCGACTCCATTTCTGGGATGCAGTCAGCTGTTCTTGTAACATTCACTGGCTAAGCAGGGAATTTGGGAAGCCCTGTGGGCAGAGGGAAGGTGGAAGATGCTTTAAGAGCTTGCCCCGGATACACATCCCACGGCTGACGCGGTTTGGCCCAGCCATGGCCAATCAAAGGAAGTGCCCCAGTGACAAGTGCAAAGCTCTGGGGAGAGCAGGGATAGAGTGGACACTGAGCTGCCCAGCGGTGACACCGAGCTGCCCACTGGTGAAAGCACAGGGGTGTCTTTGTTTGCTGGTGACACCCCCCAAACCTGCTGCAAAGCAAAGCTGTCTCTGCTGCTGCTCCGCTCCAGCCTCCGTCACGGCGTCCCTCATGGATTGCAGCCCTCAGCAGCCCAAAGTGCCAGGGCAGTGCTGGAGCATCCCTGCATGAAGGGGACACACGGACACCATAAGGCTTTGCAGTTTTTCCTCGGGGGGCTGAGTGGGAGAGCAGTGCCCCGTCCCTCGTGCGTGTGACGGCCTGCACAGCCCCGTCCCCCCGCCGTGGTCTCGGCTGGGCCGGGTTCTGGAGGGCCCTGGGTATTAAAATGGGCTTGGTTTGTGTTCTGTTGGCCCCGCAGGTCTGAGCAGTGACAGCGGGCTGGGCGGGAGCACCGACGGCAGCACCGACATCCTGGTGTTCGGCTCCGTGGTGGACAGCGTGACAGAGGAAGGTGGGTGTGAGGGACAGAACCCCTGAGACGAGTAGTCAGACCTTTTAAACCATCTCAGAAGGGCCAGAGGAGAAGAGGAGGAAGACAAAGAAGGTGAAGAGATGGTCCTTTTGGGACCAGCGGCTCAAATTTGAGAGGTGTGGTGAGGTCGGTGCTATGGGAGGGACGGTTTTGGAAGTGGATGTAACAGTTGAGGTGAAGTCCAAATATTATAATCAGATTCTGAATATTGTAATCAGATGATGGTATAAAACTGTAAAAGCATGTCTTCTGTGCAATCGGTGTGGGCAAAATATTTTTGTGTGCCCTTTGGTGTCGCAGCTAAGAAGTGCTTTTTGCCTTTTAATTCTCAAAAATAGTCCAGGTAATTATTTTTCTGCTTTTAGGCGTCAGGTGTCACAGAGGGAACTGGGGTGGCAGCTAAGGCAGGATGGATGTCGGGGCTGTCTGGTGTCAGGAACAACAGGGAACATGAGAAATTGGAAGTGTGAAGCTTTTTGGCTCATCTCTCTCCATCCTTTCCTGCCTCTCAGAGTGCGAGGTGTCCGAGGAGTCCAGCGGGGAGGCAGAGATTGAACAGGAGGCATCTGACTTGGAGGACCTGAGGGAGCTGCACCCTGGCTTGTTGATCTACAAGGCAGCACAAGCCCGAAATCTGCCCCTCATGGCAGAAGCACTCGCCCACGGTGCTGAGATCAACTGGGTGAACGACGAGGATGAGAACAAAACTCCTCTGATTCAAGCTGTGAAGGGGGTACGTTGTGAGGTCCTGGCTCTAGTTTGGAGTGCACTGACCACGGCTTGGTATGTCCTTGTGCATCCTCCCAGTGCTCCTGGCTGGGATATATGCAAAAATTCCTCTTTTCCTTGCCAGGGCTCCTTGATAGCCTGTGAATTCCTGCTGCAGAACGGGGCAGACGTGAACCAAAGAGACAGCCGAGGCCGGGCCCCCCTGCACCACGCCACGTACCTGGGGCACACTGGGTGAGTGCTCTGCACCTTCCTGGGACGTTCTCCATCCCCCTGGGATCAGGATCCAGCGTTAACACCGAGAGCCAGGGGTGAGGTGGGCGCAGGAGCTGGTTTTTGGGGAATTGGTGGTTTGCAAAGCATGGCTTTTATATCATATCAGCAACGGGAACCCTGACAGAGGGGAGGGTTAGATGAGATATCAGGAAGAAATTGTTCCCTGTGAGGGTGGACAGGCCCTGGCACGGGTTGCCCAGAGAAGCTGTGGCTGCCCCAGGATTATCCAATGGATAATTGCCTCCCTGATGATGGATAGGGGGTAGCTGTGTCCCTGCACACCCACTCCTCTCTCCATGCCATGGCGGCGTTTCCCGATTCAGACCAGCCCAAGCCAAGCTGTGCCTGCCTGTGGAAGGACAGCGTGCTCTGCCCACACCTTTGAGGGGCGGGGGAGCTGGAATTTCTGCTCTGATGGTCCCTTCCTGTCCCTCCTGCAGCCAGGTGTGCCTGTTCCTGAAGAGAGGGGCCAACCAGCACGCGGTGGACGGCGACGGGCAGGACCCGCTGAGCATCGCGGTGCAGGCGGCCAACGCAGACATCGTCACCCTGTGAGTGCTGCCAGGGCTGCCACTGCTCACAGAGCCAACCAGCCTGGCACTCAAAACACCAGGCCACTGTTGGCTCATCCCTGGTTTTCCCTTTGGAGTCTTTAGGATGCTGTACAGCGAGTTCAGAGGGCAAAACGTGCCGCTTTCAGAGCCTTGTGTCGCTCCCCCGCGGCCCCTCTAGAGTGGGACCCGCAGATTGAGATAACTCTGGTGTTCCAGTGCCTTTTCACTGTCAGCTGAAGCTTTAGAGTGGCCCCAGAACTGCTTCTGGTTCTGTTTGCTGGTTCTCCCAGTACACAGCACTGCACTCTCCTGAGCCCTCAATAAATTTTGACCTCTGGCTGTGAGAGAAATGGGTCTGCCAGAAACCTGAGGGTCACTGGGACACATTTCAATGCACAATCAGAAAGAATATGCTGGAAAATATAGCATAATCTTTCTTAAGAGGAATACACTAGAATTAATCATACCCCCTGAAAATACCACCAGTGAATCTGTGTGAATGTTGGTATTTTTTGGAAACTGAAACTGCTGGATGTGTTAATCTTTTTAACTTCAGTGCATCTCCTCAGTTAAATTATCTTGTTTACTCCCAATTGGGTGTGCAAAGGACACGGCACTGGGCCTTCGAAAAAATGTGATATTTTAGTTCCCTGCTTTAAATTATTTCATATTCACCTTGAAAAGAGGTCGTGGCTGAGCTCGGATCAGGAACAGTGCCACCAGGGAAGGAATAACCAAAGCTCTCTCTGCTTGTGCTCTCTCTGTCCCACTCCAGGCTGCGTCTGGCTCGGATGAACGAGGAAATGCGGGAAGCAGAGGGTCCCTTTGGACAACCAGGGCAATATCCCAGCAACAGCCCCACTGAGCTGCAGTACAGGAAGTGCATACAGGAGTTCATCAGCCTTAATATAGACGAGTGTTAGTGACAACTCCCCCGTGTCCCCTCTGCTGTCTTGAAGTTGGGCTGAAGTTTTCCAGAAGCCCTGAGAAGCCCCATCCTTGGTATATTGGTGTTCCTTGCAGATTGGTCTGTTTTTGATGCCTGCACATATAGGTTGAGCTGCACACAGGAAGGACAAGGGGGTCTTTTCCTGTTAAGCATTAAGTTCTCATGCTTGACTACTGGATGGTTGGTTTTTTGTGTAGGAGACTCCCAGGGCATGACTACAGACCGTGGCACGTGGACTTGAGTGTGTGAGAAGTGTGGGAGGAGAGTTTAGCATTAAAAATAAAAGGAGACAAAAAAAAAAAAAAAGAGGAAAAAAAACAAAACAAAAAAAAAAAAAAAAAAGAGAAGAAAAGAGAAAAGGAAAAGGAAACCTTCTCTCATCAGAAGAAACCCACCAAGAACACGATCAGACGAAGCCGTCTCTGCCTCAGGGCGCTGAGTTCTTGTCTGAACAGTTGGCTTGGGAGGGATCCTGGCGTGGAGCTCTGGGTCCTGGCAGCGTGACCAGCAGTTTAGAAAACTTCAGAGATGACCTCTGAGTCAGGAACAGGCTGCTCTGTGGGGCAGAGACATTTTGCTCCAGAAGGCACAGAGGGGGTAGGGCTGAGAGCGACGGCTCCTCACCTTCATTGCTCTCAGGACTAAACCAGCCACCCTCCCCTTATTGTTTTTTTTGCCCTCAGTGGTTTAGCTGGTCAAAGCCATAGCTCCCTGCTTCCTGGGCCAAGATGCAAAGTGCACACTGTTGTGGAAGCAGCAGTGCTGAGTTTTTGGAGGCCGGGAGAAGCTTGTCGCCGGCGATGGGCTTTGTGTCAGGGAAGAGAAGCCACGTCCAGCCCCCGCCACGGCCACGCCTGCAGTTGGACTTCAGCTCAGTTTGTGTCCTGGTCACCTCAGATTTTCTGACAGCACCCCTGGGAAGGAGAATTCCACTTGCATGTGTTCCCTCTGTGCTCACCCCCTGCATGCCGGAGCGTCTCAGCAGCTGGCCCAGGGGCTCTGGAGTTCCCCGGTTCTGGTGACCAGCAGAATCTTCTCGGTGTTCCTTTCCTTTCCCTCGTGTTATTCTTGGCTGGAGTGAGGGAATGTGGATCTGCTCAGAGCACTTTGTTGCTGTGTCGCTGGTCTGTGTCTCTGCAGAGCTGCTGGAGCTCTGTCATCCTGTCTTGGGAGGGCTGGCAGAGCACAGGTACCACTGGTGTCCTCTGGCTGGGAGCTGAGCTGTGCTGCTGGAAGAGCCTCTTCCCAACGTCCCCCAACCACAATTGGCATCAGAGTTTGTCAGGACTTGTGGGTGACAGTCCCCTGCCTGGGCACCGAGGCTGCTGGCTCTGGGGTCAGGCCATAGTGCCTTATGGATTGTCCTGGGATTTTGAGGGGATCAGGAGCTTGCGAGAAAAGCAAGAATCCCAGGCAGACTTCCCCGTCCTCCTGCATTCCATCAGCAGTGATACAAAATCATCTTATTTCTCATCCACTGCACGTTTGACTTCACAGTTTTTGCAGCCTGGCTGCTGCTCTGCTCACCCCTCAGTGGCTCAAACCCCTTGGTGGGGGGGAAACCTTTGTAGGTTTTGTTTCTGTTGCTCTAATTGTGCCCTCAGAGACTGAACCAGCAGCACTCGGTGTCCACCCACAGAGCTGCAGGTGGATCAATAAACTCCACTCAGTCTCTTGTAGGGTCCTCTCAGTTCAAGGGACAGTCCCTGCTTCCTTAGGAAAGTGCTGTCCCGAGTTTTCCTGCAGCCAGAGCAGTTTCCTGGCTGTGCAATCTGGATCTGGAGGTCCATATCTTTGTCCTGTTGCTTTCTCATTCCCGTTGGAGCTTTGGGATGAGTCCCAAGGGCTCGGTTCTGATCCCAGTGTCTGAATCTGGAATGGTCCTGGTTCTGATCCCAGTGTCTGAGTCTGGAATGGTCCTGGTTCTGATCCCAGTGTCTGAATCTGGAATGGTCCTGGTTCTGATCCCAGTGTCTGAGTCTGGAATGGTCCTGGGGGCTCTGCAGTGCAAAATCTGCCCCCAGGGCCTTTCATGCTTCCCAAAATAAGGAACAATCTCCTTCCAGCAGTCTTGGAAAATGAAAATTCTCCCTTCTTAGCTGCTCAATGCCTGGTCTGAAACTATCCTGTGGTCTTGGAGCAGGCAGTGCTCCCTCTGAACTTTTCCCTGAGTGAAAGCTGTAGGACAGGCCCTGCAGCTGGCAGAGGGCAGATCCCTTGGTCTGTTCATCCTCTGCCCAGCTCTGGCACCCTCAGGAGTGACTCAGGACCACGTGTGGGATAGAGCAGCGTGGCACAAAATGCCATCCTTGCTGCACTTCAGAGGAGCTGGGAATGTGTAAATCCCCAGTTCAGGGGACAGCTGGGAGCAGGGACTTGACTGTAGCTCCCAGGAGTGACTCTGGAGTCACCCCTGGATGGAGAGGGCTCACTGCAGGCAGGAGCTGGGTGAGTGATGCCAAAGGCAGGCAGACATGCCCCGTGTGTGGCAGTGCCACTTCTTGGTCCCCCTCAGCTTGCACTGACCATGCCCTGGGTTAAACATCCTCCTGCCCCCCGGGGGAAGGTGTAGCATCTCTTCCCTCTGTGTTTCTCGTGCAGGATCCAGAGGTTACCACTTTCCATGCTCGAGGAGCTTCATCTTTCACTCATTTGCATTGGGATTTGGCTTCTTTCTGACCCAAACCACCTCAAGTTCCAGTTATTTCCCCTCCTCGAGCAGGGTGGTGCCTTCACTCGTGTGTCCCTCCCTTCCCTGGCAGCTGCACCCCTTTGCTCTGCAGCTGCTGGAGGTGCTGCAGTTCAGTCTGAGTGTGGCCAGGAGCAAACCTGCAGGCTGGAAATCACGGGGGAGCAAAGCCTTGCAGCCCTCCCTGTCCTGGGCTGGGCTTGGCTGCCGGTGGCCAGTGGTGCTGAGCCTGTCCCCAAGCCAGCAGTGCCCTTCAGGGCTGTGCCGTGCTCAGGGTGACATCCTGCCATCCCCCTGAGCACTTGGAGTGCTCTCCACAACCCTCACCCAGCCACGAGCTCGCTCTGCTTCTGGGGTAGGAGCTGAGAGATTCCCTGCAGTGAATCCTCTCTCCAGCTCTCTCCTGTTTTATACTGACCTGCATCGATCCAGACAGTTTTTTTTGGTGCTGATGTGCCCTCAAGTGGTGCCCTTCCCACGCTGAATCCGAGCTGGCATCCTTCAGGGTACCTCAAAGATCTCCAGAGTGAAATAACTGTTTCACCACTGCCATGGTCCTTGCTCTGTTCATGGATCTTTATTCCAGCAATGGTTTTTTTTTTTTTTACATGTACAGCGACTTAAAACACCCCAATCGGGTTTTTTTCCCAGCTTTTTAGGAGAAGTTATAGAAATACAAAACTGATCCTTTCTGTAAGCCCAGGAGAACTGTGGCTTCCACTTTGGGTCGTTTTTATTTCGTGGGAACATCCAAAAAATCATGTACAGTTCGGTCCTTTGAAGCTCAGACTCACTGCTGAAGTACATGAAGTTAAAGCAAAATGTAAATACTGATGCAAAAAGCAGTGTCTTGCAAGACAATTTATCTATTTAACATGTATTGGTACTTTATTTAGATTCAATGTATAAAGCAACTTTGTGCACTTTTCCTACATTACAGTATTGGGGGGTTTTATGTTCTTTTGTTATGGGTTTTGTGCTGTCTTTTTTAATCAGTGAAATTGTTAAGTATTTAATTTATTATTGATGTGCCCAGAGGACTAGTGCAATTTTTATTCAATACAGTTGGTCTGTATTTAATGTCAGGATTTTTTTTGTAGCATTGTTAGGGAATATTTTTCAAAACCTGCCTTTTTTCCCCTCCTCCCCCCAGAATTCTCCTTTCTTTTCCCCCTCCCCTTCCTCCCCTTTCTCTTCTGTTTTCATTATACAGCTCGTGAGGCATTAAATGCTTCAAATTCGAAATATAAACCCAACACTCGAGTACATCCTGCAGTTTCCAAAACAAAATTAAGTTCTCCAGGAAAAAAAAACATGCTAAGGAGGCACTTCTCGATGTTTTCTGTGTTTCTTTGATTTGTTTTTTTTTTTATTTTTTGGCTTGGGGGGTGTGTGTGTGTGTGTGCCTTTCAAAGTTTGCAGGGGAGAGTGGGGAAGCTGGACAGAAAATTTTGCTTTCAGCGAAGGAAACGGCTCACCAGGCTCCAGGGAAACCAGAAATCCAGTATGTTCTTGTTTCCCTGCTTCCAAACCAGCTGGATTTCTGTTGTTTTGAGACATTTCAATGCCAGAATTGCTCTTTTTTCCCCCCACTCTTGTTTCTTTTCAAAGAGGGCAGGTTTGTTTTCTCTCTCTGACGGTGACTTGGTTGCAACTACAGATAAACACGAGGAGATTTGCCTTTGTCTAGAAAGCAACGTGCCAGGCATTGCCCAAACCATCACGTGGATCCTTCATCCTTTGAGTTTTTGACCATCTGGGTGAATATTTCTCTACCTGTCCTCGCTTTTATTTGACCCAACCCTTTAACCAAGTGCCTGGACAGGTAGGTTTGAATCTTTGGGGTCTTGCCACACCCGTCCCTGATTCCAGGTGGGATGAGTTCAGGGGTGCTGGCAAGTTGAAACGATCCCCTCTTGTGTTCCCTCTCATCCAGGGAAGCCTCAGGTTATTTTAATTTTGCTGGCTCTGAGATGGTCCCTGCAGTGGGGAGCGAGGGGGGAAAAACTGGAATTGGAAGAATTTAAAGGCATTTAAAGAATGTCTTTAACAACAACAACAGAAAAAAAATAAAAATAGGAGAAGCTGAGGTTGTGATGAGTGTAAAATAAAATCACTGAGGTTGGAAGAGACCTCTGAGGTCATCGAGTGGATGATCCTGCAGGTTTGAAGAGAGAGTTGAACAGATGATTTTTTTTGAAGAACTGGATCAGTCACATCTCAGAGCAGCAAAACTGGCCGTTATTTATGCAAGAAAAAAACCCCCAGGACCTCCTAAAGAAATGCAC